GAAAATAGTTGAGTTTCAAACATTTTGATATTTGTTTAACAGAATATTGATAATTTAATTTTAAAGCACTTTGAGGGGAGATTTTAAGCACTTAGATGTCAGCTTTAATGATTTGAGGTTATATTCTTATTCAACTTATTTAATAATATTTTTAGCTTGTTTTGTGTTGTATTTAATAAAATTCACATCGGTTATGGCAATGAGATATTTTACCTTGACGAAGAAATAAACAAAATGCTTCTAACTTACCTGAAATATGATACACCTACAATATTTCTTTCGGATCTATTTTTGCAAGATATAACACTGCACTTAACCATTATTTTAATTTGCAAGTAACGTTTCTTAATTATAAACTCTATACATCATATAAAATATTGTTTAAATACACTTCTTTCCAACTTTCTTCTATATTATTTGAGTCCAACAAATTCTATGCCTAAAATTTTGACGTTTTGGTGCCAAACAAGCCTGGTGCCAAACAAAAAAACCGGCCACATCGATAAGGACAACAAATAATGTTTTTTTCTCACTTTAACTAATGAAAATTGTAATAAGTCATTTCATTTTCCGATGAATGAGATAGAACATACCATTAATCTATTGCTTTCTCTGTCTACAGGTGAAGGTGTGGTCGTACTAGATGATTTCATTACACCTAGTATAAGAGCGGAGACAGGAGCAGCGTAAATAATTATTCTCAAAGCTCTACATCTTTGCTAAGGTCTGTGAGAATATAATTCACTGACAGATTTATGCTGTTCTTAACAATTGGTTTATCCCTGAGCAACACGGCTTCTTGAGGGCCGCTCAACTATTTTTAATCTTCTTGTGACTAATAACTACGCTACATCTTGCATGGATGCTGGCACTCAGGTGGACTTGATTTTTACGGATTTCAATTAAGCTTTTGATCGTATAGATTTTATTTTGCTTCAAAAATTATTCATGGCCGGAATCCATGAAAGTCTCTTCCGATGGTTTTCTTCTTATATTGAAAATCGTTCGCAAGCTATAGCTGTATGCTGTAAGCCATGGCTTCCTCTCAAACTGGGTACCGTTAACTTCAGGGGTGCTTCAGTTGCTTGGACCTCTCTTATTTGTCATCTTTCTTAATGATATTGGTTCTTATTTTGTAAATTAAAAATTTCTGTTTTATGCTGATGACACATAAATATTTAAGCAAATATTTTCACCCAGAGGCTGCACATTTCTTCAAGAGGACCTCAATAAATCTTATACGAGGGTCAAACTGAAAGTTCTTAGAAAATCAAAAACTGATTACATTAGCCAGTTATTAGTTTTATTATATCTTTTCAAAATATTGTCCATTCACGTCAATACACCGCTGCATGCGATGGAACCACTGGGAAAAGCACTTTGCCCACTCGTCCTTAGGGGTCTCTTCAATGGCATCGCGATACGCAGCCACCGCTTCTTCAGCATTCATAAACCGCTTTCCTTTAAGTTTTTCTTTAATTTTTGGAAATAAATAAAAATCACAAGGCGCGAGGTCGGGGCTATACGGCGGGTGACCCAGTAATTCAACGTTTGATGTCGCCAAATAGTCGATCGTTCGCTTGGCGGTGTGCGACGAGGCGTTGTCGTGGTGAAGGAGGATCCTACTGCGAGGTCGTTTCTCTCGAACTTTTTCCAAGACAAGTGGCAAACAATTGGTAGTGTACCATTCTGCAGAAACTGTTTTTTGATCCTCTAACACAATTGTTGCAAAATGACCTATCCTTCCAAAGAACGAGGCCACCATTTTTTTTCCCGCACTTCGATCTCTCTTCACTTTAGTTGGCAACTCCTCGAAAGGAAACACCCACTGAGCAGATTGTCTTTTGGTTTTAGGATCATAACAGTAAATCCAGCTTTCGTCACCTGTTAGTATGTCGAACACAGCATTTGAGTCACCTCCGTTAAATCTTTCAATCATTTTACGACACCAATCCACACGATGGAGTTTTTGAGCCTCAGTCAAATTATGAGGTATCCACCGGGCGCAAAGCTTCCTGACCGCTAAATGTTCGTGGAGGATTTTGTGCACTTGACTCATACCGATGCCTAAGCTTGTCCGAATCTGTTGATAGGTCACTCTTTTGTCAGTCTCTATCATACGCCGCACAACACAGATGTTATCTTCAGTCGTCGCCGTAGAAGGCCGTCCCTCACGTAAATCATCAGTGAGATTAGTGCGACCACGTTTAAACTCATTAAACCAGTTGTAAACAGTCGCACGAGATGGGACTTCATCGTGAAAGGCCAATCGTAGTCTATCATAACTTTCTTGTTGACTTAAATGACATCGAAAGTCATAAAAAATCATTGCACGAAAATTTTCTCGTGTTAAATTTATGATGACGTGACACAGACAATTTTCAATTTGCCGCCAAATCGTAAAACAAATGACAAATGAATGAAATATATACTCAGTAATATTGGCAAAGAGTTATATTTTCAAATTTTAGAATTATTTTTTTATTATATTGTTTATAAGTGGCCAGTTCTAAGAACTTTCAGTTTGACCCTCGTAATTATTGTTTCTTAAACAAGCTTGATCAAACGTATCCAAATCGCAGCCAATAAAATTTAATTATAAGATCCAAAATAAAATATTGGCTTCAAGTTGTAAAACGAAAGACCTTGGTGTTTTGATTTAAAATTATTGTTTGATGAACACATAGATAACATTATAAGGTGTGCTTCAAAAGTGCTTATCAGGTCTTCTGTCAACTTTACTCAGCTTAAAGCGATAAAAGTGTTGAACTGTTCGTTCATGCGTAGTGTCCTGGAATATGCTTCAGAAATTTAGAATCCCCAGTACGATGTGTATACCCGCAGAGAAATAGCTGACATTATTTATGTTGTTAAAATAATTAATAATGGTATTGATTGCCCGGATCTGTTTGGAGAATTCGGTATATCTCAGATAGCAATTTAAACTTGTTTCTGACTAGCAACAAGTTTGATACATCAAAAAAGAAGACTTGCGTCAAGTTTGCAATGACAACTGCAGCAAGTTTAAATCAAACTTTCTAGTTTTAGTGACAAACTTGCACTACCTTTGACGTATCAAAGGTAATGCAAGTGTACCTAGGAAAATTATTATAACTACTACCGTAGTAGTTTAATTTTCCTAGGTACTAACTCGAATACCTACCAGGTACACGGGTACTCGAGTACCTGGAATACAGATTTCGAGGCAAATATTATATTAAGTTTACTAAGTTTTTATTAATCTTTTGATCATTCAAAAAACTTTTCGTCTAAAAGCGACTGCGACTTTAAACTCAGACCACAGCACAGAGTCTAGCCTAAGTAATTAACTGGAACGGTTGGTTTCGAATAAGTTTGGAGACTTAGAACCGTTCGGGCACCTATGGAGATGATGGGTGTGTTACATATAAGTATCTTTGTCATAACAATTTAGAATCAAAGAAAAATCAAACTTGCCCCAAGTTAGCATGCTCTCTGGCATGTACTCCTTGTAAGCAATTACATCAGTATAATTATTTTCATGTCCCTAGCTTTAAGACCAACTACAGGAAAAATTCATTTGTCTGTAGAGCCAGTACTAAAGTTAATAACATTTTAAAAGATTTCCCTAATGTGGACATTTACAACGTGAAACCATTATTTATGAGGCGCTTATTGGCGAAGTATTTTATATTAAAAGTAGTATAACTTTGCCTCCTTGGTTGGCTATTTGTGAAAACTTCTTAATAGCTTTGTATATTAGTTTGTAGTTAATGACATGTATTACAGCTGTTAGTTTTCCGAATGAAATAAATAACTGAATATTTTTACAGTAGCCTTAAATAATAAACGCAAAAAAGAACTTACTCAGAGATAATACTTTATTTCTATAGCAAATAGTGATATTTATCAAAATACAGAAAAAAATACATGTTTCGACAAGTACGAAATGTTATTGAAACATCTTTATAAACTGCAATATTTGCTGTTCCAATTCAAAACCATTCAATTACGAGCGGCAACGCAGCCTGGCGAGTTGTCACTCGTACCATGAACACCTTAAATTTTGATAGAGAGTGCGTTAAGATTTTAGTATGGAATCCGGTATAGCGCCCCTAGCGGTAACTACCGAGAACTACAAATCTCTATACAATTTTTTAACGCGCTCACTAGTGAACCTGTAGCATAAAATTTACACTTAGTTCTCTGATCATAGTATAATAACTAGATAAGTAGGGTCACTCGAGGCACGAGCGAAAGATAATATGTAGGGCTGTAGCTTGTAGGTTATTCAATAGTCAGAAATGAATGGTCAATCGATCTCTATAAAATATAATTTTCCCCTGTATGGTAAGCACCCGGGAACTATAACGTTTTTTTATTATACTCGTATAAGAGATCGATTACTTCTTTTCCATACCTTCGTTATATCATTTATTTAGTGTTTTGGAAAATGAAAACATGGTTTTAATAAATTATATATTTATTCAATATTTTTTTTCAAATAATCAGGCTCGCATTAAATTATATTCAAAAAAAGTAATTTTATGTGTAAAAATATTCGCCTGTTTCGACAAGTACGAAATATATTAATATTCAATAAAATAATAATATTCAATTTAATAAATTACCCGAATACCTAAAGAACGAAATATCACATACTCGATTTATCGATTTAAAAACCATCCTAATAATAAATGCTATTTATACTGCGACTGAATATTTAAATGAAAAGTTTTAGATAAAATGTAACTATGTAAACCAATTAGAAGTAAGAATACTATTATTATTAGCTATTAGTTCTTATTTCATTCAAATTCTCGTCTATTGGTTAAAAATATCCCATTTAAAAATAGCCATTTTCCCAAGTAATAGCATATGAGTGCACCGAGATGCGACGTTGGGGTGTAGACTAAAACGTTTTTCGAGGTCGTCAGGCTGCACGAGCTGATTCACATTCATTCTATGTTCCAAAAAGAAGTAATAAAACACATATGTGCAATTTAACTTTTGATTTTATTTTCAACAGAACAAATTTATAATATAACAGAACGTAATCGTGCCATTCATTCGTTTTAGAGCGGTGCTTCTTCAGTTTAATTCTTTAAATATCTTATCTTTCAATTCAAAATATCTGTTTAAACGAATTTCTGCATAGCTGAAATAAACATACGATATAACATTAGAATTAAATGTTAGACGTGTTATGTTACAAACGGGATCGGTTGACATCTTTAGACAAATAAATACGAGAAAGACATTGTTTAAGTCATGCGCCTATATTACGGCAAGTTATTAAAATACCAAAAATACTTAAGCATCCAAACTTGACACAATACAGATAAGTTAGTTTCGCATACGTCAGGACAGGACTTAATAGACGAGTGGTTCGATAATATTAGTACTATGTATACTTCATCATACAATAGGGACCCGATAACTTTATAAGATTGTTAAAAAAAATGTGGGTGTATATTATGGACCCAAAAATACTGCAGAGTACAGACTATTGATTTCGCTTAACATCAAAAACTGTGAAGGAACTTCGCGCGCTTAAAAACGTAAATCCTCTCATAAGCTACGCAATGAGATTCGGTCAGTACTTATTACAAAGCTAAAAAGCCATTTCAACTACATAACCATTGACGATTTTTTTAAAAAAATCTAAAAAATCACTTTGAATTTGACATTAGAGAGTGAAAGACAATCACAAACTTCACGCTACAACTATTTGACATGTGAAAGCAATTGCGATCGCGACGTTTTATTTGAAAGATAACGTTCATTTCGCGTAAACCGGAATTGTGTAAGCAAATTGATGATTAAAAATTGGGAAAGCTATTGGGTAATGTCAAATGAAAGAGTTGAATACTGGCTGCAATTTTTCGGCAGTTTGTGTTTTAATTATTTTTCTGAATTTATTATATCATTGTCTTAACTGCTATACGTTTGAATGAGATTGTGATAGATTTTAAAATTAGATTATTAGGCCACGGATCGAGAATGATATTGTATGGGTGCACTCGAGAAAAGTGACAGTTGCATATAGCGCTCACTGAATACTACAGTGGCACAACTCAAAAACCATTATTTCGAGAAAACGCCACAACATTGTGGTGGCATCCCATAGATAATTTAAAGAAAAAATAAAAAAACTTAACAGTAATAATATATTATAAACGATTTAACTGTTATGCTAAAAAAATGATTTTCATAATTATAAATATATTACATTTTCATAACTTCGGAGAGCGTTTCTCGAATTATGGTTTTTGAGTTGTGCCAGTGTAGTATTCAGTGAGCGATAGTAACGCGCTAGAAGGCCATCCAAAAAAAATGACAAAATCAATTTACCTTAGAAAATCAAAGTCAATATTTGACAATTCGAACTGTACAAGAGACCAAATGCCCCACATGAAATGAGACGCCAGAGAAAGCTGTTGAACTTCTGCGTATATTTTATCTACACTCTCAACGGAAGGTGAATCGGTTTCCAAATACTCGCAGAGATAGACGTTTAACCATTTCTTCTGAAATTCTTCATTCGGATATCGTTTGTAATCTATATCTTCAATGTTAAGGCCTGTAAGAAAGTAATTTAATTGGTAACATGGCATAGTGCGACGAGAAAAGCGCTATAAATTTAACTTTAATGGTATATATTTCATTTTTATATTAACTACTAGTGGACGCCCGCGACTTCGTCCGCGTGGAAGTCGGTATCCCGTGGGAGTGAGAAGTTTTCCCAGTAAAAAGTACCCTATGTGTTATTCTGATGTATAACCTATATTGCTGTAAAGTTTTATCCAAATCCGTCCAGTAGTTTTTTCGTGAAAGAGTAACAAACATCCATACATCCATACTTACAAACTTTCGCCTTTATAATATTAATAGGATAGGATGGTAGAGCGGCAAAAAAGAGCTGAAAAAAAAAGAGACTTCAAGTGTCTCTGTCGCAGCAAAGTAGTATAATCATTTGTGCGGCCAGCCATCAATTGAATGCCTAGTTTTCTAGTTGAATAAATATAGCATTTGAATTGTTCAATAAGACAGCTGATTTAAAAACCACCAAAACGTTCATTTAATTTATCTGTTTAAAAATTACCTGTCTTGAAAATTAAGGCGATCTCTACGAAACGCTTAAATTGTCTTAAATTTCTAACCTTTCACGTGATTTCCAGGACCAAATTAACTTCTTTATATATAATTTATGTTTTTGTTAACTATTATAGTACCAAACTACGAAATCGTAATAAATATACTAAAACAATCGCGGTTCAATACATTGCTTACTCTGCTTTCGATAGACGGCGCTGTGACCGTTTGAATCGCGGTAAATCTTATCTTTATATAACTGGGTTAGTATTAAGAATTTATTATGAAAGTTGAAGCTTAACTCTCTTGCGTAAAAGGTGTGTAAGTTAGCTTCCTGAATTGGATTACACCCAGCCGCGAGTAAGCAGTTTTTGGTCAGGCCTGTATCTGTGTTGATTACATTTCTTAATCTAATCAACACAGATACAGGCCTGACCAAACTACTACTTCTTACTAAATTTCGGTATTTCCGACGAATTGATGATTTTTGATTAGTTGACTGACCGTTGTCCTGATCTGATCGAAAGTCAGCCCTTTTATAGAATGGCGCCATCAATTAAAATGCTATCCGCCCAATCTGTCGGCTGATCATACCACTTGGCTGCGACATGTCGATTATCGTAACTAAATCATTCACTACACTATTTGTTACTCGGCTGATCTTTGTTCAGCCGTACTGTAGAAAGTCGCGTTTAGCTAGTCGATCGATCGAAGATCAGTCCGTTAATTAATTGAGTCTATGAATTACACGGCTATAGGCCCAATTGGAAAGCTGATTTAACCACTTGGTTGCGACACATATACAGTTAATGACAGCTATAAATAAGCAAACTCATTTATCGTGGTAACTATTCTCGCTCGAGTAGAGAGACAAGAGAAGATACGGCGAACTTTTTTTTTCTTACTAACCAATGGATAACTGTAAGCTTGGCTCCCATTCTCCTCGACCTATAAGTATAGAATCATGCTAAGTAAAGTAGCCTGGTCTATAAGTTTATTATATGAGGCTGCTGCGCAGGTCGAATATGTTTCGCTCACCGTCATGGGAGCGTACGTTCGGAAGACTAACGCAACTTTAACACGCATAACATGACGAACTATAGAAACGTTTTGTCTATATAAAAATGACACGATACTCGTGTGCACCAATTTTATATCATTACGCTCTTGATCTGAGAAAAATGTAGATATGGTAGCCATTTAGTAACAGACGTTCAACGGATCTCTCCTTAATTGGTATAATTTCCTTTAGATAACGGTCGCCTGTAAGTAATTGCTACCATAACAATTCACATTGTAAGATAACTATAACTACCCAATATCTGAGGACTGGTTTAATACAATCACTCATAGATAGATGCTTTAACACTGTGTCGTTTACAGTCGCTGACAGATTGCTGAGCTGATATCGAGTGACGGCACAGTATTTCGCTGTAAATACAAAAGATAAGGCAAACGTAACTTGTTTACTGCTGCTATTGTTATTATTACCTCGAATAATCTAATACACTTTTGAAAGCACGCAGATACTTTTGACTAACTGCTAGCAATCGTTGTCGTCCGAGCTGACGATATTTGAGTATCCTGTCGTGTCGCTATCGTCGCCCATTCAAGAAAATTAAAATTACAACATATTTCGTTGGCTACAGTGAACGTTGCGTTAAAGTAAAATCAGCTGAGCTTTGTCCAGCTAAAAAACTGCAATGCTAGAGACCTGTGCTCAGATCAGTTACGTAGTTGAACGACTTATGGACGTGCAATTTAATAGCTGTTTGCTATACCACTTTGGGAAAGATTGGTCATTCAAACCCTTGAAGTAAATTAATTATTAATTACACCACCCAGTGGCGCAACTATAGGGTGGCAAGTCGGCAAAATGCCACGGGCCCCCGGTCAGAGGATACTACTGACATTATTACGCAATTAGTAAAAAGAATTGAATATCCGATGAATTTGCCACGGGCCTAAAATGGTATAGTTACGCCACTGACACCACCCCACTCAATATGAAAAAACCTACATGGAGGACTATTTAAATTATTAAGTATCAATTTAAATCTTTTGTGGCGCTCCGTGCGGCCCGATAAAGGTTTCTTAAACTTTCGATAAAGATTTATTATTAAAATTATCTAGTCTATTCAGTAACTTTTTGTAACTGTAGCCATATCATTATACGTATAGCTAGTTCAATTGATATTTATTCATATTACTATACGTATATACATAGGTATATACTATATACACTGGACAGCAAATAAACCGGGCCACCCGCTACCTTGGAACTCTGATCCGACTTACAGATATGCATTTTATGACGCTTTTTTTATGGGATAGGGGGCAGACTAGCAAACGGATCACCTGATGGTAAGTGATTACCGTCGCCCATGGACACCTGCAACACCAGAGGGGCTACAAGCGCGCTGCCGGCCTTGGAGGGAAGGGTTGAGGGGTAGAGGGAAGGGAATAGGGAGGGGTTGGGCCTCCGGTACCCTCACTCACACGACGAAACACAACGCAAGCGTTGCTTCACGTCGGTTTTCTGTGAGGCCGTGGTATCACTCCGGTCGAGCCGGCCCATTCATGCCGAAGCGTGGCTCTCCCACGGTTAAAAGCTTAGAATGATGATAGGAATTAAGTGTTTATTATGCATTTTACAATGAAGGATCGTTTGCAGTCGTGTATAATCGTTGGTAATGTTAAATTGAATAAATAATAATAGAGTAAGAAAGAAAAAAAAAGTTTAAAAAGATGTTGATCAGTATTCAGTATTTCCTCCCCTAGCTCGGACAACTGCCATTGACCTCACCAGCCTGACGGTGAAATCTTGAGTAATCGCATTCCGCTCTTCTTCAATTGCTATTCGCAGCTCGTGAAGACTTGTTGGAGCAGGTACCCGGGCTCAAACCCGATATTTTGGCTCATCCCATAACTGCTCGATAGGATTCAAGTAAGGGCTTCGAGCGGTCAAGTCCATCGTACGAATGCCGACGTCGCGTAAGTACTGGGTCACCACATGTGCAACATGCGTCAACTGCATATCCTGCCCGATATATCCTGCATAAGGTATGACATGATCTGCGAGGATTTCAGTAATGTAGCGATGTGAAGTCAATCCACGTGTATAGCTTCGCGAATCGATGAAAACTAATGCTGTATGTACGGTTAACGAGATGCCGTCCCAGACCATTACAGATCCCCCTCCGTAAGCAACAGTTTCCTCGATTCCACACTGAGCGGGTGGCCCGGTTTGTTTACTGTCCAGTGTAGATGAACTGATATGACTATAGTTTCATTAATCACTCTAGGAAACGGGTTAGAGCGAGTTCGAGAATGTGATATTGTATAGGCATTATAGACATATCTCACTCTCGACCAGTTTCTCGTGTCTATTAGTTCATGCTATATAGAAGGTAAGTATAGAAAGCAAATATAAATACCTAATTCTTATTTCAATATAAATAACATTGGTGGTAGTACCCAACTCCTAATAAAAATTGACTATTCAGTATAGGCACAATTATTGTATTACTACCTCTATACTAGTTCACATGAATTCATAGGTTATGTCACCTTCCTAACTCACACAATTCGGGCTCTGTTACCTTATTTCTACACTAGATGGCGACCAATGTGTAAGTGCCTGCGCACATTATAGACAAAATTGTTTTGTCGTTTATCGACAATTCTCTTAAAACAGTTTAGCAACAGTTTTGTCGGGACACAGTGCGCACCCACAGAATACACCAAAAGGTAATCAAATGTACTTAATTTTTTATACCTACAAAAAAAATGGAGGTTCGCACTTTAACACGGTTTTGGCGTGGTTATTATAAAATTAGTATTTTTAGTGTTGCCTATTATATAGGTTATATAAAAAATATCAATATCACTAAAAAGCATGGAATAAGAACCTTTAAAAAATAGAAGCAACTTCAAACTTTAAAAAACAAGATATCGCAATTCCGGAATCTTGGAACACAAGTTTCAATATTCAATAATCCAATATTGGAATGAGATTATTTTGTTATTATAGTTTAAAACAGTCGAAAAACGTCGATAATAATTATTAACTCTGATAATAAGTGGACGGTGCTTTGACAAAATTGTAATTGGTAACCAACTGAATGCGAATATTAACAGACACGGTAGGTATTAGCTTACAGTTGTATATGTTTTACATATGTGATAATATAAGTAGTATTGTCACATAAAAAATATAATAAGAGGGACGTACGTCTGACATAATTATCACAGTACAAGGTGGTGCACATTAAAACATAAAAATGAATCGCCAAAATTTAACTTCCGCACTGCTGCACCAAATTGGATGATTCTATTTTGAAGTTTCTAATTTTCGGGACAGTAAAATATATATATATTTTATCAGAATTAATTTTTACATTTTACAAAAAGTGATTGATGGTACGTGACAAAAGACTGACAGATCTTTGAAAAAAAAGGAAAAAATCGACGTTTGCCGAATTATCAGTTATCATCAGTACATTTCAAATAAAATATGTAGACAGCTAGTTTAATAATAATAATATCCCTTAACATTCAAACACTCAAGAGGATACATAGTATCAGGAACTTATTTCTTACTTAGAGATAGAGTAAACAAATGACAGCATTATTGACAAACAGCAATCTATTCTAGGCGTATATACATATATTTGAAATGTTATGTAATTGATTAACAGTTTTACAGTGATTTGATAATAAGAAACTAGTTTCAATATGTCGACAGGAAATAATTTCTAACTTCACCGCTAAATGACCTTAATGATTTGAGTCTTCCTGACGTCATCGGAAAGATGCACAGCAAAAAAATACCAATAGAAATTTTGAGAGTGACCAGGAAACTCGAGAGTGAGGTTTGAACGCAGCGGTGAGGAATGCAATGTACATTGTGATGAAGAGGAGAGGAAAGAGAAGTATTGTTAAAGATATGGTTTATGTATTATTAGGTATGCTAAGGAAATACCTTATACTCGTGAATTACTTTCATTTTAGCTCTTTAACAAATTCTGTCGTTATTAAAAAAGTGACACATTCAGAGCAGTGGAGTGAGCTAGCTCAATACGGGTGTAGGACAGTAAACAAAAATACATACATTTTTTTTCTGGTAGCGTTTAATATACTGTTAGCGATAATCACACTTTTATGCTTATTATATTTATAATATTTCTTAAACTAATTATGAAAGCAAATATTTTATGCTCGTTGTCACGTAACCGCAAACAGCGCGTTACATCACGCTCTTCTTACTCATTTCAGAACTTAGAGAATTCAATCTTATGCTTACATAGAACGATATTCGTTTTTGAGTGCCATGACGTCATAACGACGCCATGACAGAAGTGGTGTATTCGCAGAAAATTTTGAATCTTTAGATTTTGAGTTATTGTATGAGTGATATATTTTTATAAACAATTTCTATAGATATATTTCATGTATCTATGAAAAAAAAATATAAAAAATGGTTCATCTACACCCCTGTTCCGCGACGCAAGGCAATTTTATTTAATCTTATGACAACAGTTTTGTCTTGTGTAGGTATAAAACAATTTTGATTTTACGTTTGTTCCAGCAGAGGAAACTTATAATGACTTGACTATAGACAAATAAAACGAACATCTTTTCAGTGGCAACCATATAGCCTAGTAACGTGTGGTAAGCTAACTACCTACTATATTATCAAGACGACAAAAGATAAGATATAATCAGAACTAAAAACAATAAAGACCACCGACACCTATCTTCTAATTATAAAATATGTTATTAACACAAAACTTTTGTTATCTTAAAACGTTCCGGGTTATCTAAATATCGTATTTTGTGAAATGTTAATAAGTAAATAAAGTAACGGAACTCGAACTCGTTCGTTCACAAAACTCATGTCATGTGTTACTCGATCCTAGGTAAAAGGAAATACCATTTTGCTAGTTTTGAATACAAAAATAAAATAAATCGAAGCTGTTTAAAGAATAGACTAATAGGGATTCTTATCGGATAGATTTTGTTAGATCAATATCACTCACCAACAAACTCGTTGAAATGATTTGCGATGTCAAACCCTTGATAATTATATGTGGCATACTCAAAATCAATAAAAGCTACGGTTCCATCTTCTTTGTTGTAGATCACGTTTCCTAGAAGCAAATCATTGTGAGCAAACACTATGGGGCTCGCAGTTTTGATTAAGTATGTTTTGAGCCGCTCAGACTCTATTCTTAGTCTCGTTACGGACCCAAAGCTATTGACAAATCTATAACAGAAATAAACAAACGGTATTTTGTCAAAAACATAAAAAACTGTAAGAAAAAATTGCAACTGTATTTAAAAATATGATTAAGTAATTAGAAAACCTAAAGATCCCTTATAAATTTACATTATTATCGCTAATTCTATATAATCATAAACTACTCGTCACTATTACATTACTATAACGTATCTTATCTCGGATGTCACTATTACATTACTATAACCTTCTCCATTCGCCAAATTTCATTAAAACCAAATGTAAAACTTATGATTTATAATATTTTGACTTTTACTATTAAGAAATTAATGTAATTACGGTACAGGCTTACTTATTAAGATGGACAATATTACTTGATTTATAAAAACAAAACAAAAGCAAATATGGTGCTTTTAGAAGTTAATGTGACAGTTAAAAGCAAGTAGGTTCTTCTTAATTTCACGAAATTAGAAATATTGAAGTTTCAGACCTAGTTCTTTTGTTGTCATCGGTGAATGGCTCTGGAAGCAAACCCAAGAACTGCTCTATTTTATCCCAAACCATAGGTTCCTCTTTTATCTGAAAAATAAGTTTCATTCATTTTTTTCGGATTAAAAACTACTCCTGGTCAGCGCTTCTACCTTTTTCTCTCCGTTTCGGAATACCTAGAGTGGATATTTGTCGACTTTCTCGTCAGATTTCTGCCTACGACATTTATCTTTGCAGTTTTTTGATTACGGTGACTTTCAATACCGATTTTCTGGTTAACTATTTACCACACTATGATGAACTATAGTATCTTCGGTTAAAACATATTTTAAATAAGCAGAAAATACCTAACATAGTCGGATTTTTAGTTGAGTAACAAACACATATTTTACTCTAAACATATTTACTTATATATTTAAGCAGTGTTTGTTATCCTCGGTAAGCCCACCGCGTAACTACGTTGAATTTATTTAAGCTGTCATCGGATTCAATATTGTATTGAATGTGAAGCGCGATTGATTTAAGTCGATGCGATGTATCAAAGGTAACGTTAACTTTGAGTGCATTTTAATTGAATTCAATGTCAATGAAATCGTAGATACGCAATAGGGCCCCACATTGTGACCCAGACAGAGTCGCAGTAATTTTCAAACACTCTGGGAGTTATTGTCGTAATCGTTGTCATCCTCAATTGGAATATATTATATCGTAGAGGGAGCAAGTGATGGACTTTTAGTCAACATAATACGTATTTTATTAATACTATAGATAAATAAATTGCTAAGGTCGCGAGCGGGCCAATCTTCTGGATACTAAGCGGTGTATGGTTACCTCAATACGAAATCATTCCAATATATTAAGAATGACACAGAGTACAATGAGGAACAAAAATAAAATGAAAATATTTCTTATCCAAAAAAAAACTAATTAAAGCAATTTTGCATCGTCGTGTTTTTCTACCATCCGTTCAGCAGAGCGATTCTGTAATAATCCGAACCCGAATTCAGGGCAAGCAGGAATTCTTTTGACTAACAAGAACGGGCGGAAGAAAACATCGATGATGTGTGTAGGATCAGTCTGTTTAACATTATGAGGGATTAGTAGAAAATGGGGTGAAAACGTTTATATGAAAGTTCCTCGTTTTTTAACATATAGCGATGAAAATTGGTATTGATTAGTTTAGTATAATGATTACGTTTATCAAGTTCAATTATGGAAAACAATAATGTGGGAGTAATTTTGCATTTAAATGAAAAATTCTTTATTTATATATGAAACAATTTTGGTTTTGTTCAAAGATTTTCCACATTAACTTTCATAAAATTATTCTTTAAAACTTATAAGAAATGAAATACTAACGTATAAAAGGAGGTGTTTGTTTGTTATTCTTTCATTCGTGTCGCAACAGAGCGGCAAGCAGAGTATGACATGCACAACTTGTTGCCCTTACTTAGTATTTATCTCTTTTTCTTCATGCCAGTGAGGCCGGGGTAACAGCTAGTATTCGATATAAGAACATTAAAATAATGGTATTAATTAACTCCATCTTAAAGATAACGTGTTATGATGTGTGTCAATGTTTCTGTTACATTGAAACTAGTTTACTTTGTTCATACATTATGATAAGGAATTGAACAACAGTTATTTACCGGAGTAGCATAATATGTTAGTAGTATTTAAATTATAAAGACATCACATTATAAAAAAAAATGCTTTCTTAACTTTGTATGGTTGTATTCAACATTGTATGTTCTATAATGAAAAGTTTTTATAGGTCAATATAATTTATAAATTGTAATAAATCGCTTTCTGCGCTAAGCAATAATTGTTAAATTGGACAAAAATCAAGAAAATATTTATCTGAATATATTAATTTGTACAAATAAAAGAAATCAAAATGATTTAATTCTGAAAACATATAACACACACACCACATATGAAGACCCATGAAACAACTCGGCATACTTATGCAGCATGCAGAATAACGCAAAGCGGGAAATAAAGGCTAGGGTTGCCAACCGTTGTTTCCTCAGGAGATATTCTGCTTCTGTCACAAAATGAATTATAATAGTTACTTTGATTTTATTGATGTTATCTTACATAAGCAAAAAAATTGGTTATATATTCACCAAAGTGTAATCGACACTTTCATGCATATTATGATTAATAGATTTTTGAGAAACATTTCCTTGGTCTATGTATCACTAGGATACCAAAACGACCCACAACGTTTATATTATTATAAATGGCCTAATTTATTATATTTGATCAATTGTGCATTCACAATGCTATAGGTATTTACCCTGAAGAAGAATGCTTAAAAATTCACCAGTCTTTAGCCTCTGAATACAACAAGGGTGATCAGATCCAAAGTAACAACATGTTTTTAGAGATCTGTTTCTTCTTTCTCTCCAATGTTACCAGGTTAACATAAAATAAATTAAAGTAACTATTACAAAGCATTTTTTTTTTAACAGTAAGTAATGCAATATATATTAAAAATTGTACACAATTTACTCATCCGATGAACAAATCATGTAAAAATGAAATAAATGGACAAAAATAAATCTCTTCCTATTTTATAGTTTTTATCAACCCCAAGTGGCATAGCGCCTGCAAGAGTACAGTAAGGGTTTAAGATTAAAGCAATAAAAAAAAAACACTTAAATAATACATACATCATTACCGAGTTTCACCTTGTGCATCTTTGCCATTTTCTGTGCTATACGAGGCCATATTTTATTACTCAGCACTGAATCAATATCAAGAGTGACTCCAGGAAAATACTGATAAGCCAAACCATTCTCAAATATTCCATAAACTTCTGGTGCAAGGCCAATTTTATTTAAAATTTTGATGTTTCTGCAATCATATTGTTGTTTGAGAATAAATGACAACACAGTAAATACTTAAATACGGACTAATCTACTAAATAGTTGTAATTCGAACTTTTTCAACACAAGTACGGAACCGAACTTCATACCTTCCGCAATTCAAGTGCTATTTACAAATATGTTAATTATCGAATATTTCAACGTCTTTATTACGTATCTATACTCATGTTTATTAGCTGCTTCGATCCACGAAATGTTAGGTTAGGTTAGGAATGAAGTAAGAGACGGGTTAGGACTAAGGATGCACAGTTGTGCATTCTTGACCTTTGACGACGGGCAGTCTAATGGGTCAGCGCGCTCGCCGGGCATTGCACACCCGTTGTCCTGTCTGGAGGGTTAGACTCGCATGTTCCTGAGCCCTTCCCCCAGCCCGTGGTGGGACCCGTTTCACGAGAGGTGAGCCGAAACGTGGTCGGACCGCGCGGAATATGGTCGCCATATCCCGCTAGGTCCGATGCTTCGCTTGCATAGAGAGGGACATTGCTAGGTTTTAGTGGTTATGCCCCTGCAATTTGACTAGCCCCTATTCTGGGGCAGAGTCCCATATAACTCGTGGATCTCATGCAGGGTGAAGCGACTATGCGTAAGATTAGGAATTAAATGTATTAAGTAGATATTTTCTGTAATATATTGACATCGTAGTAGTCACATTTATCAATGCGAAATGAACTTGTCTTCAGTATGGACAATACCATATATGGATTTAAGTATACTCAAAATGATATTCCCACAGTAGAGAAGCCAAATATCGATATATCAATGGTATTGTAAGTGTTTTGCATACACATATATATGAAATATCCCTATAATCTTGACTGACGTGTAATATACTGAGCATGATGATACTTCTATTAGGTCTTCGCTGTTCAGACTTTGTATCTCAGCCAGTGTGACCGTTTGTGGCAGATTTCTGCCATTTGAGCTGATTTGCCATCTAAATTGTAACTCTAGCTTAATAATGATATTATGACGATTCGAGAAAAGTGACAGAATTTGGCAGATTTCAAATCTTTATATTTAAAAAAATATGTAATTATGTATTTATATTTAAAATTCTTATGGTGTTGAATGCTTTATAATTTACATTATTTTTAATAATCGTTTATGGTAGGTAATAAATAATATATCCTATAAAATGGCAACTTTTGTCTCATGATAGGGAGCACTAGAAGTTATAGAATGTTATAAAAAATTAACAAAATTAATAAGAAGTTGGGATGGGTGGCAACTGATTAAAAACTATGTAGTCGTTGAGATAGCTAATTTTGTTTTGTTTATTTTTTTCCATAAGGCCAATGTCTCACAGTGAATATTATATTGGGGCACAGTGAGCTGTGAGGCAAAATAATAATATTTTTTAACGTACTTCACTTCATAGAATAAATATTTACCTATATTAGGGGTTAAAATATGAAATATCCGTTTTATTGTAATAAGTTCCTTGAGTTGACGTAGAATCTTCATGGTTAGAGGTTTTAGAAAGAAACCTTTTTCAAAATGTTTCTATGATGTTCTTCTTTTAAAAAATGTGAAACATTTGAATATCGCCTTTCAATTATTTTTGTTATTCAACTTAGACATGAAAGATGGATACTGCGACAATTCGAGTGATTTTTGAATACGAGTTCCGATGCGGAAGTAACGCGGCAGAAACAGCCCGTATATTTGGAGAGGGGTCTGCTGATGAAAGCACCGTGCGATTTTGGTTTAAACATTTTCGTGATGGAAACTTCGACTTGAAGAACGAGCCACGAGGAAGACCGCCCAGACAGGTGAATAACGATGAATAAAAATAGATGGTGGAAGCCGATCCTAGTCAAACTACCCAGGAATTAGCGGCATAGTTTAACGTTTGCGTCAAATCAATAAAATAAAAAGATAAACGAAAAATGTGTGCCTCATGATTTGACTGATCTGCAGAAAGAAACGCGTGTGGAAACTTGTGTTGTCTTGTTGAATCTGTACAGAAATAAAGGAATATTGCATCGACTTGTGACATGTGATGAAAAGTGGATTTCGAATTACCGTAAAAAAAATGCAATGGCTGATCCCAGGTTCAACGCCACAAAGGTGTTCTAAAGCGAAACTTAACAATAAAAAGGTAATGGTAACTGTAATGGTGGTCTCAGCTTGGTGTTATTCACTATAGTATTTCCGATCTGGTCAAGCAATAACGGCAGATGTCTATTGTGCCGAACTCCGAACAATGTTGACTTCATGAGTCAATGTAAAACAGCCCCGACTCATGAATCGATCTTTACTATTATTGCTCCATGACAATGCGAGACCTCATACAGTACGAGAAATCGTTTTGACTCTTCAGGAACTGCAGTTAGAAACCATTCGTTATCCTCCGTATTCGCCAGACCTTACTCCAATGGACTACCATTTTTTCGTGATTTGGACAATTAAAGGCATAAATGTCTTTCCTATTAGATGGCAGCAATGTATAGATAATAACGGTAACTATTTTGATAAAACAAATTTGTTAAAAATTAAAAAATAAACAATTTTGATTGTCAGTACAAATCGGCAATTTCGTACTTTAACCCCTATTATTTACCTACTTATTATTTACAAGGAATAAAAGAAGTTTTTTGGTTTAAGAAAAACATTATCCATATTTAAATTGATTATTCAGGAATTATTGCTTGTATATTTATTTTGTCATTTTAATTACAAGACTTCAATAGTGTAAATAAAGGAGTAATAATACAGAAAGTCTTTTACTAATTGTATATAGATCTGGTCTGCATCAATCATTCTCACAATGCATACATTGATCCAGTGTTGCAGAGGGTCTTTTGCCTTTTTTCTTCAAAAAGGCAAAAGACCCTCTGCAACACTGCAAGATTATAAAATCTCAAAGAAGATTAATTTAGCCACAAATTGAGAAGTATTTCTTAATATAAGTGTAGACTTCTATTATTTTTTACTCTTTTCAACAGTTTTTGAGGTTGGTTATTAAAAATATATATATTATTAAGATTTAAAAACAATGTAATTTAATTAATTACATCCTAATATTGCAATTTGGTTTTGAGAAGCCATTTCTGGATAGTTTCACACATAAAAATAAAATGTCCCCAAGTCAGTAGTATTGAGAACTTAGAATACAGATCAATTTTATAAGATATTGAATATTAATAAGTAGTAGATTTAAATATATATATATACCGGATGCATTTAAAATGACTCTCCAAATTTTTTCTAGGCATTAGGTATCGTTAATAGAACACATATATTAAAAAAAAACAGTATGTAAAATTTTCAAAATGAAATGTAAAGTTGTTGTAATTACAAGATAATTATAACATTTGCATTATCACATTAGTTATGAACGAAACAAGCAGGGGTAGCAAGGGCGCGGGCGCAGGGGATGTATGCGCATGCGCCGACGACGATGTCTGCTCGGTTTTTTTATTTTGTTGGCAACATCAGTCGCCCGCGCACAATCCCTTTGAACGCACGCGCTTCCGCCTTTGCTTCCGTGTTGCGCACCGCCCGCCGCAGCCCTACACACTTCACGCGTCGTAATGTATTCCAATCGCGAATATTATGAAATGGTGCGGTGTTACATTTTAAGCGGTGAAAGTTTAAATGCAGCTCGGAGACTGTACGAAGCAGAAGCCATCCCAGCCCTGCAAAATCAGGGACTAATAAACCCCGCAGTACCTAGTCGCGAGACATTTTTGGCTGTGAACCAAAGGCTATTGGACTATGGTCAATTTACTACACCTGCTCATGCTCGCGGAGGTGGAAGACCAAGACTTGCAGTAGAAGTCGAAGATGAAATCTTGGATTTCTTCGAAAGGGACCCGCGAGCCAGTACACGAGATGCCGCACGCCGATTTAACGTAAGCCACTATGCCGTGTGGAAGCTGCTGAACGTAACAGGGCTACACCCTTACCACTTTCAAAAGGTCCATGCTCTACACGATGGAGATAATGTGCCCCGTCGCACCTTTTGTGAACGGCTGATTGCACACCCTAATGCCAACATTTTGTGGACCGACGAAGCATTGTTTACTCGTGTGGGGCTTTATAACCATCATATAGAACACTGGTGGTCCTTCAGAAATCCGCATATGATTCGGGAAACCCACCATCAAGTCCGCTTTAGTGCCAATGTGTGGGCCGGTGTCATAGGCACGAAAATACTGGGGCCGTACTTCATCGAAGGGCCGCTCACCGGCGGCAACTTCCTCGATATGCTGTGGCATGTCATTGCCGATTTCACGGAGGACTTGCCCGTGGCCTACTTCCGGGATTTTTATTTTCAACTGGACAGAGCACCACCCCATTACGCCGCCGCCGTCCAAGATCATCTCACCATAGAATATGGTGATCGATGGATTGGACGCGGAGGCCCCATCGTGTGACCTGCTCGATCGCCGGACCTAACACCGTGTGACTTTTATTTGTGGGGTGAAATTAAAAGACGTGTGTATTTTGAGAAAGCACAAAGCCTCGAGGACTTAAAAGTGCAAATCAGAGCGGCATTTGACCACGTGAAAAATGACACTGTAGTGCTCGCAAAATTAAAAGACAATGTGCAAAAACGTGCAAGACTCTGTTTGGAGAGGAACGGTATGCACTTTGAACAATTATTAAAGTATACGTAGGTAAATTGTTAAAGTAGGTAGGGTAAATTGATTAGTTGATTATGTACATAAAGTTGATGATTTTTTAAATACGCCTGATTGCAAAGTATATCTAGTTAAGTACCTACTTTTTTTATTATTGGTTTAACTAAACAGAATTTTAGGTAACTCGATGTTTACTTACCTACTTATTTTATAAATTTAAAGCAGTATAGCTATTGTAATATGTAGTAGGTATCTAATAGGATTTTTGCAATTTGACGGTCCTAAGCCCGTAAAAGTATGAAGGAAAGGTTTCAACTTTATGTACCATTTGCCCAAGCATGAAAAAACGAAAACATTTTAGGTACTCGCAAGCATAATTGTATTACTATCAATGAATTGCGAGAAGGAAAGGAGGGGTAAGTGTAACGTAGCGCAGGGCAGCGGGAGCGTCCACAAATGTATGTTTTTTAAAAATAACTTGGTGACAATATAACTCAACATTTTTGTTTTAAACAACATAAAAAGAAAAAACTTGTATTTCATTATTTGTCGTAAAGATCAAATTTAGAGAGTGGTTTTAAATGCTTCCTGTATATATATATACAGGAATAATTTAAAACCACTGCGAAGATTTTGTGAAAATAAACTTTAAGTAATTTAAACAAACACGTATTTTTTATTTTGATATGTCCTCATACTAAAAAAATAAAGTTATCGCTTATCAAAGATCGAGACTTTAAAACTAAATTTATGGACAACACGCGCCGTGCGTCAGCTGAGCGCGCGCTCGATGCTGTTATACCTAAGTAGGTATCACGGCGTCGAGCGTGGGTCACTGACCGCTCATTTTGTTAGATTCGAACTAGAATTTATGCCATGACCTGAGGTGATTTGTAAGAGTAATTCCAATTTTCCCTTCATACTTTTATGGGCTTAGGACCATCAAACTGCAGAAAATAAAAGAGAAACAAATTAGTTACCTAGAAAAAATATTAACGTTATGCCGAGGTTACATAGTTTAGGTACTTCTGCGTTAAGGCGTATTTAAAAAATTGGAATCAACTACGTATTTACAATAATGTCCAATCAAAAATGATACCTAACTACGAGTAAAATTACTTACAATGTACTAATCGCTGTATTTTAATAATTGTTCAAAATGAAGTCCACCTCTTTCCAGACATAATCGTGCACGTTTTATTAAATTGTCATTTAATTTATTCAAAACACTAGTGTCACTTTTCACTTCACTAAAAGCGTTATTAATTTTTTGTTTTAATTCTTCTAGGCTTTGTGCCTCCTCTACATACACTCGGCGTTTGACTTCTCCCCATAAGAAGAAATCGCAGGGTGTAAGGTCCGGAGACCTAGCCGGCCACGGTACGGGGCCACCACGACCGATCCAATTTTCTCCGTATTTTTCATTCAGGTAGTTTCGTACCTGTATGGCGTAATGAGGTGGAGCGCCATCGTGCTGAAAATAAAAATTCCTGAAGTACGACAACGGTATTTCTTCAGTCAAATTTTCTATTGTATTCTAGAACATTTCTAAATAACTCGTTCCGGTTAAGGCGCCGTCGATAAAAATGGGCCCTATTATTTTATTTTTAATTATCCCCGCCCACACATTAGCGCTAAAACGCACTTGGTGATGTGTTTCTCTTACTAAATGGGGATTATTAAATGACCACCAATGTTCATTATGCACATTGTACAGTCCCACACGTGTGAACAATGCCTCATCCGTCCACAAGATATTTACATCGCGGTGATGTAGAAGCCACTCACATAAGGCTCGACGTGGTACTGGGTCTATGTCATGGAGTTGCTGAACCGGCTGAAAATGGTACGGATGGAGTCCGGCTGTATTAAGTAGCTTCCATACCGCAGGCTGGCTCACACCAAAACGACGTGCCGCATCGTGGGTACTGGCTCTGGGATTTCGTTCAAAGAATTCAAAAATTGTTTCTTCTAATTCGACTGCCAGGCGAGGTCTGCCAGACCCTCGTGCATGACTCGGGGTAATGAATTGGCCGTGATCGAGCAGCCTTTGATTGGCTGCCAAAATGGTTCTTGTATTAGGTATCGCGGGGTTACGGATCCCAAAGGCTCGCATACGAGGTATGCTCTCCGTCGCGTACATTCTCCGAGCTGCACTTAAGTTCTCACCACTTAGAAGGTAAACTCGTACCATCTCGTAAAACTCACGACTGGTAAATTCTGACATCGTTATCAGAAAAAACCTACAACACGAAAGGCGCGAACGACGGACACTGTGCTTGCGCGGGAACACGAAAACACATCAAAGCGGCGCGTGCGTATGAGTCTCACTGCGGCCACTGCGGCGCGCGCCTTTGAAGGGTGGCGGGGGCTGTGGCGGGTGGCTGCCGGGAGCGGCAGGGCGGCGGGGCCTGTGGCGGGGGGCTGCCGGGAGCGGCAGCGCGGCGGGGACTGTGGCGGGGGGTTGCCAGGAGCGGCGGGGATGCACGGTGGTATACGCAAGAGGAAACGTTTTCATTGAAGTTTTATTTTAAAAATTATGTCCATATTCTACCGTTGTCTACGTCTTCTCTTGCGTATGCCACCGTGCAACCCCGCCGCGCCCGGTAGCCCCCCGCCACAGCCCCCACCGCCCCGCCGGGACCGAGCGACGCGCGCGACAGTGAGACTCATACGCAGGCGCCGATTTGACGTGTCCTCGCGTTCCCGCGCACGCGATGCGCCCGCCGTCGTGAGTTTTACGAGATGGTACGAGTTTATCTTCTGAGTGATGAGAACCTACATAAGCGCAATTCGGAGAAAGTATGCGACGAAGAGCATACCTCGTATGCGGGCCTTTGGGATCCGTAACCCCGCGGTCCCTAATGCTTCGAACCATTTTAACAGACGAAGTCCCAGAGTCAGTACCCACGATGCGGCATATCTCTTTGGTGTGAGCCAGCCTGCGGTATTGAAGCTGCTAAAAACAGCCGGACTCCATCCGTACCACTTTCAGCCGGTTCAGCAGTTCCATGACCTAGACCCAGTACCACGTCGAGCCTTATGTGAGTGGCTTCTACATCACCGCGATGCAAACATCTTGTAGACGGATGAGGCATTGTTCACAAGTGAGGGACTGTTTCTTATGGGAAGAAGTCAAACGCCGAGATGTAGAGGAGGCACAAAGTCTAGAAGACTTAACAATAAAAAATAATAACGCTTTCAGTGAAGTGAAAAGTGACACTAGTGTTTTAAACAAATTAAATGACAATTTAATGAAATGTGCACGTTTATGTCTGGACAGACGTGGATTTCATTTTGAACAAATATTAAAATACATGGTAAGTAATTAGTTAGGTATTTGTTTTGATTCAACATTATTATAAATACGTAGTTGATTCTAATTTTTTTAAATACGCCTTAACGCAGAAGTACCCATGTAACTTCGGCATAACGTTAATATTTTTTTCTAGGTAACGAATTTGTTTCTCTTTTATTTTTTGCATTTTGATGGCCTTAACCATAAAAGTATGAAGGGAAAATTGGAATTACTCTTAGAAATCACCTCAGATCATGGCATAAAATCTAGTTCGAATCTAACAAAATGAGCGTTCAGTGACCCGTGTAGATAGGTACCTACGAGTACATGCCTACGGCGTCGAGCGAGCGCTCAGCTGACGCACGGCACGCGGTGTCCATAAATTAAGTTTTAAAATCTCGATCTTTGATAAGCAATAACTTTATTTTTTAGTATTAGAACATATCAAAATAAAAAATACGTGTTTATTTAAATTACTTAAAGTTTATTTTCATAAAATCTTCGCAGTGGTTTTAACTAAATCCCTACTCAAAAGAATACATAGAGTTATTATTAATGTCTGGGTCTGAATTACCTAGCTTTAATTATAAGGTAAATTTATGTATATTTTTAAGAATATTAGGTTCCATAGGTCTTTTTATATAAAAAATAAGTTTTATCCATCTACCAAAACCTGGAAGTGTATCAAGTATCATGTTTTTAAACCAAATAATTGAAAATAAATTAACTGGGCTTTATGTTTAGAAAAAATTATAAACCAACAAAACACCTTTTCATTTGATATACATATATTAGGGTTGCCATAAATCCTCAAGGCCCCGTCGGGACATTTACATTTTTTTTGTTGGTGCGTAGCAGTTCTTTAAAACAAAACCATTTGGAATTATTTATATTTATTTAATTATTATGGAGGATAACAAAACAATTAATTAACCTCATTCCTTTTGAAAAATAGCATTGTGAATGCTAAACAAAGTAAAAAAAAAATTATAACCATCATGCGGCGCACTCGATTATGTTTGACAGAACATTTTATAGCTTGTCGGGACGTCGGGACACCACTGTTAATAACGGTGACATGTCCCGACGTATCGGGACGAATGGCAACCCTAACCTATATGTATGAAATAAACTAAACTTACCGTAACTCAGCATTTCGGTCAATAAGCAAATCAGTCTTGTTTCCATATAAACGAACTAAAACTATATTTGTATTGTTCAATTCATTTTGTAATTGGCACGCCACTAATTTATTTGTAATTCCATCTGTAAACAACTATAAATAATATCTCTAATTAATGAAATACAAATATTTTATATATAAAAGTACTTGCTAAGTATGTAAAATAAGTTATTTAACAAATAAATAGTGCTACCTTAAATTTTAAATTCTCCGTGGGCCAATTAGGTCGTATAACTTTTAAAAGTTTTTGGATTCCGTCATATATGTCATTTTCTTCAATTTTTATGGGTACGTATAAATCACCACCTGGTAGGCAAATAGAGGACATATTTTTTTAGTTTCCTTGTAAAGCCTCAAAGAATATTTACGCACTATGTACCATTTGTACTCGCGTTCCAAAATAAATAAATAAAAAAGACACAAATTCATTCGTTCGTCAATAAAATAGTACTATTTTTAGGGATGCTACAATATGTCGGAAATATCGATATCGAAGAAATAGTGGTATCGATATAATCATATCGAAAATGAACCAACATATTGAAACCTGATATTGAATGAAATCCTAAGAGTTAATGGATATCAGTTGTCCTAATCTTAACACCTAACGGCATTTTCACTTGTGATATTACAGTAGTAACACGTGTGACATTAGTTTGTAGTCCTGATTTTTTGCTTTGAAATTTATAGTAGTTATATTATTATTTTTATTTGTACGTAATTTAAAAATCAAGCGTTATTTCTAATTTAATCGCCGCCGTTTAAGCGTTTAAGACTGTAGTACAAATCGATATTTAGAAAAATCGATTCCAATCAAAAATGAATTTACAACTGAAATATCGTTAAGAGTTTTAACGTGGTTATCGTTACTGTGGTAGGGATGTTCCGATACCATCAAGGAATCGATACCTACTCATATCATTAGTACTTAAATAGTCTTTCGATATTACTCATATAAATACTCCTAACGTATCGATACTTACTAATATCGAAACTTTTAGATTATTTTTTTATGAAATAACGGGCAATAATTTTATGAGGGCAAAAAATAAAATAAGTCATTTATTTTTTATTTTATTTAATTAAACAGCTGGACATTAGGCGCGCGAGCTTTTACCGCTTACCGAGCGAGCGAGAGAAATAAGCTGTCGCTCAATCGTTCTATTTGATGATTAATAGAAACTTAGTAAACATAGTAATTTTTGCAAGTTTAAATTGCTATCTGGGAATGAATCGGTGTACTTGCTCCCATGGATTCCAACCACCACTGGAACTCTGTCAAGACCTTGACCTAGAAGTTGCTCCAATTTTATTTTGATTGAGAAGAAAAATAATAACGAGGAAGTATTAAAAAAAGATATCACTAAAACAGCACATCCATTAGATGGAGACTCTAGCAAAAGTTGATTTTTGCAGAAAACGAATGGACCAAAGACAATCATTTCCGTTCCTTTTAACTAACATATTAAAAAACTGAAATTAGAAAAGTTCGAAACTTAGACATTAATACAAATACGAAAAAGTACAAATAGAATATGAGTTGTTTATTGAATTTTGAAAACTAATTTACTTTTAAACATGAAAGAAAACCAGAAGGGTTGTCATGGAGAAATCAAGAACGTACCGTAGCGTCATCTAGTTTAATTTCGGGAATTAATGGTTTTTTAAATAGTTCCTAATTGTACTCACTTGATTCGCCAAAGATTCAAACGGTCATTCTTACTTTGTTTTCGCCGCCGATTCCGTTCTTTATTTTTGTTTTCTTTATATAACTGTAAAAAAATATCCGGCACCGAAAAACTAATACTTTGTAATATTAATAACTGATGAAAATGAGTAATAGCTAAGAGCAGTTTAAACACCGGACCAGAGATATGACATTTTAAATCAATATTTATTTTGAGTGATTGATTATTGTTCAATAACCCAAATCGATTAGCAACTAATCGATTTTTAAAGTGTAATAGACTTTTTTAATAACTCGTATAGTTAACCAAATTAGTGAAATAAAAATAAAAGCCTAAAACATCATTTAAATTGTTCTTCATTTTGCGACTTAATATTTTGATGTTATTGCATCGATGTTAACATTTTGTAACGACATCCCTATACATGTACATTTTCGTCACATCCGCTTTGACGAGTAGCATGGCCATATTGTTCTGTGAGCATGGCGTTTGAATATTTTGAAGTTACCGCATCTTTAGTTGCACTTTTTAATAATTATTTTCAAACGAAAACGAATTAATGTTGAAAAATATTAACATAAGACTTTATTCTAAAGCAATAATGATCGTAATAAAATATATTCAAGCCTTTTTTGAATCAAACGCAAATTCCCTATTGTTGGTAGTGATTGAGTAAGTTGAAGATTTTCGTTTTTTTTTTCATTACGAATATTTGCCACAGTAGCACTGAATGCAAAATTGATAAAATATTATATTCAATGTTTTGGACAATATCAAAATTCATAGTTAGAAACCCAAATAAAATGCGTAAATATTTTGTTAAATCATTCATTTACTAAGCTTTTTGACATTAGAAATGCGTAAATAACATATTAATGGTCGAACCATTTATAAACGTGAAACATAGGCCAAATAAACCTATTACATTTGATCATAAAAGGGAATAGATGAATCGTGTTAAATTAAATATCACTTTCAGAAAAATAATAAAAGCCGTGCTTTGAAATACAGTTGCCATATGAAACTACCCATGTAATTTCATATACCGTAGATATTTTTGACTGCATAATATTGCGGTGCTATTGACATCGGGCATTTTTTCATAATTTCATACATCATTTAATATTCCATCGCAAAAGATACATAGCACCCTATTCAATAAAATGTTGGTAAAGTTGTTCAACCAGGATGAATTAATACTATGATAAAAGAATAAACCATTCTGGAAGGAGCATGTACCTAGAAAGTTCTAAAATCACCCTTGCATTTCTTTAATAATTCTAAAATAAGTAGTCCGAATATATTTTACTTTTGGAATGGTATGTCAATAGTTTTGAATGTATGTTCATTGTAACCTATTTCAATAGAAGTGCGGCAATACTTAGGTATATAGTTTTCAATTCATTTAGCAACCAGCACACGATTTACAGATAAACATTAATTTTGCACTAAACATTAATAATATTAATGCTAATTAAAAAGTTGCATTTTAATCATCTTGCATACCTAATTTTATCAGTAATAAACATTTTAGAGATGTTCAAATCAGTATTTGTTTTATCACATTTTTAATGGGACACCTGGAATTTTCTTCTTATACAATACACCAGGATTTAAATAATATATATTTATAAATTATGTTACAAATTATAACTATTCGTGTTACGTCAAATCAGAAATGCATGACTATTACTAAAACAAAATTACTTCAGCACGATGGTTAAACATATAACACAAAAAAAACCAGCCGTACCTTCAATTGATTTAAAAAAAAAATATTATCTAGTTTTATATTTATAGCTTTCATGTTAAAATACACATCAAAAGACTAAATAATAACATTCTGCTTTTATACACACACAAAAGAAATACGATGCTTACTATCAAAACCAAGTTCCCATATAATTTTTTATTGACAATATACCTATTAGCGAGTTTCAAGAGTTCATCTCTTACATTCAAAATAAATGATAATGATGATTAAATGCACAAATTAAGTTAAACGTGCCTGAGAATCGGGTGAATTATATCAAGTTGTACAAACAGTGCATAATCACAATTTAAGTTTGTGACGATGATGTGTGTTATTATTTAGTCTTGTGAGTCAGCGTGTTCAGTCAACATCCATCGGCTCAGTCGGTGCACCGGCAGGGGGCTGCCCATCACCAGTAGGGTTGCTCGGTGGAGGGGTCTTTTCTTTAGGTTTCGGCTTATTTAAAATTGGATTTACTATGTTTTCCAAGTTCTGAAATACAAAAAAAAAAATACAAACTAAACATGTGTCACATTTACATCATTTACGTAACAGATAACTGCAGATTTAAGCAGCAGGATCTCTATAATATATTTAATTTTTTATTTCTCTCTCCTGACTTATTCGGCGCATGTTGCACTGGTTATAAGGGGAGGTGTACATTTTTATTTTTTTTATTTCGACTTACAAAACTGGTTACAATTAAAAATAGTAATATTACAACATTCACACATGATGTTTGACGAATTATAACATTCTAGATATAAAGTATGACATGCATTTTAAAATTAAACATTGTTTCTCAGAAATTACTATAACTCAAACATGAATTAATCATATAATAATAGCAATACACTCTACTAGCAGCATTTTACAGAAAAAAAACCCTGCTAAAATTTTAATTACACCTTAGACCTAAAAACAGATTTGAAGCTTTGTACAAGCAATGGACCTGTTGAATATGTCGTTGTTAAATCGTAACTATTCATAACTAGAACACATGCAATTAAGCAGCAAATGCTGATCGAGACGAGTTCTACAGAGCGGCAGTGTTAAGTTTTTTCAGTTTTGTATTTGACTCCCAATTCTCAGAACAAGGTCTGTCTCCTGTCTCCCTTGAGGCGATAGGTATAATAGGTGGAGAGCCCTTATATGCGGCATGTGCATATCGTGTGCGTTAACAAAAACCCGTACCTGTCTCTCCTGACGTATCTGGTGCGTGGTGTGAGCGGGCGGCTGGTGGCGCGGCGCGTGCGCTAGCGTCTGGCGCGTACTCTCCAGCCAACTGAGGGCGTTCTTCGAAGCCTCCACCACCTTCTGGATATCCGCTTCAGACAAATGAGAGTACTTTGCGTCTCCAGACCTGTAGCATAATGATTAATGATTTAAATCTTTCTTTAGCTTGCGTTACTTTAATTTTTTTAAAGCAATTTAAAAACATAAACTAACGTAAAAAACCGTAATAAAAAGAAACGACTGAAAAGAAATAATATCACAATTTTTTTAATCTTCAATAAAATCGAAAACAAAAAGTGGACACCAACAAATTTTTGAGGTTTGCCAGCCATGCCCGTATGGTAAGAATTATCATTAGTAAGTAAATCAGCACTTCCAGAAAATCGATTTTTCTCATACCAATAACCATACATGATAATAGTTATATAGTATTTTGTCTTTTTCTCTCTAACTCGCAGTCAAAATATAATGACGTTAACAGCGCTATGTATATTTAATCACTAATTATTAATTACTTATTAATAAAGAAATAAGTTTTATTTTTTTGAAAAGTAATATAACGAAAAGCTTTTGCATTTTAACTAAATTAATTTTTATGTTTAGTTATGATCTTGATGGTCCACCATCTTGGATTTAGACTGAAATAATTTCATTAATTTCATAAATTTACATCGTTATATAACTATGAAAAAAATAACTGGCACCGAAAAAGTAAAATCTAGTAACAATCATAATTGATGAAAATATGTAGAAATTACTAGTTGTAGTGATGTTAAAGTACACACTAGAGGTGACATTTTAAATCAATATGGATTTTGAATGATTGATTCTTATTCAATTACCCAACTCTATTAATATCTAATTATTTTTTTTAAAATAGACTTTTTTCATATACCTAATTGGTGAAATAAAAATAAAAGCCTAATACATCATTTAATTGTTTGTTTTGTGACAATACATTGATGTTATTGCATCGATGTTAACTTTTTGTAACAACGACATACAGGGGTATGTGTACATGATCGTCACATCCGCTCTGACAAGCAGCACGGTGTTTGACAGGTCCTTTACTAAACACGCCGCTCGTCTGTGGAACGAGATGTCTGACGCTGCGTGCTTAGTTTTAAATATTTTTAAAAATTTAGTTAAATAATATTTGTTGTAGATAATAATATTAAATTTCTGTAAGTTTTTATATGTGTGTGTATGTGTGAGAATTAATTACATAGTATATTCGTTTATAGAACGTATACTTTTGCTCAAATGCACTGCCCTAAATTGTTTTGTAAATTTAATTTTGATATGCGATTGCCTGGAAGAGATCGCTTTTAAGCGATTAGACCGCCATTTGCTCTGCTATCTTTGTATGTTCTTATATGTTTTCTGTTTGTAATGCAATAAAAGTTTATTATTAATATCATCAGACGCATATTACCTATTGATAGTAACTCGTGAGAATACTTACTTATATAGATCGATTGCTTTGTTAACTAATTGAATAGATAAAGCTAAGTCGTCTAACGCTCCAGGTCGAAGTTCAAATTCGAGGCGACGTTGTTTGATAGGTTCACCCTCGGTTCGCAGCTCTGAGAGCTTGTCACTGTACACCTAGAAGAGAGATCATTTATCTATTTCATTATACATTTTATTTAATATTTCGAGTTTTTATTTCGTCGATTAGTAGTAGTATCTGTTCAGCTCAGGTCATCGTCATATGGGGAGAATCCGCCTTAAGGAGCTGTACAGTAAACTAGTAAAGTAACAGCACCTGAGTGGTGACGACTTAACGCTAACACGTTCACTAATGACAGCATTCAGAATTAGTATTGATATAGTCAGAATTAGAGTTCAGTCTGCGCTGAGGCGGTTAAGTAAATTTGGTAGGTATGTTACGCAGTTAGTCTTTGTTTCATCTGCAGTCGTGAATACTCAGCAATAGTACAGTGCAGGTACCTTGGCTTGGAAGGTTATCACCCGTCCACCCTATTTAATTTTATTCATATAAGGCCCAGCAATAGATACAATTATCAAATCTACTAATAAGAGTATTTAACAAGGTATTAAATATGCATACTGTCATTTTATACAAAAATGTTCAATCAATTAACAACACTCCTTTTTCTAAACACAAACAATTTTTTCAGATACAATCAGTTTAAAAAAAACAACCATGTTCAGTCAACACTATAGACAATTTTTTCTTACTTGAGATAACTAGTAAATAAATATGGCGTCTTTATTAAATTTGACATTTGATAGGGTTGGGAAAATTTGAACTATGCAATGAATGATTTATTGAATGATTGCCTAAAAATTAAACATTTATGTATATTGTGTATTTTAATGAATAAGTATTAAGAAACATAGATTTTACAATGCGACTATATTACAATAAGAAATGGACTATGATGAGTTGATGACTTGACAAACAATGACAAAAAAATATAGTTTTATCTTGTTAAGTATAATATTCTTTTATAAATATTTATTACATAGATATACTTAGATCGTATGCTGGACGATTTTTTTTTGTTTTTAGTTCAAATGTTGTAGAATATTATACCTGCATGTGACTTACCCTAGTTTCTCTAATCAAATTTTAGTTTGGTTTAAACATATTTTTATTACAGTAAGAAATATTATTACTTGGTAATAAAACGGCAAACGGCGACGGCGATCTCCCAGCCAATACGTCTATTTTTAATAGCATTAATTTAAATTAAATTTTATTAAAATATAATACACGAAAGCATATTCAAATAACAAGTGAGATTAGGCGAAATATATACATATAATATTGTGCTACAGAAAAAAACTGAATATATGCAATATTTTGATACTGATTTTGAGTTAATGATTAATCCACATAAAAATAAAAACGTATTTTTTTTGCTACAATTTAACAAGAAATAGTTCAGATAACATGCATTAAAGTTAAAGAGTGGGAGCTCACTATGTAACAGCTTTGTATGTAAATGCAAAAAAGCGCGACGTCATATGACATTTAAATTCAATGTATCGCCGTAATAGGTAATATGCACATTTTTGGAAAATGGTTTTATATGATATTTTACATCGATACATAACTGTAAAAAATACCCGGCACCGAAAAACTAAAACTTTGTAACATAAATAATTGATGAAAATAAGTAATAGCTACGAGCAGTTTAAACACCGGAATTATTGGCGCGCTCGTCGTGACGTCAAAGTACGACTAGAGATATGACATTTTAAATCAATATGGGTTTTGAGCGATTGATTATTATTCAATTACTTAAAGCTATTAACAACTAATCGATTTTTAAAGTATAATAGACTTTTTTAATAAATCATATAATTTACTTAATTGGTGAAATAAAAGCCTAAAACATAATTTAAATTGTAATCAGTTGTTTATTTTGCGACATAATACATTGATGTTATTGCATCGATGTTAACTTTTTGTAACAACGACATGCCTTTACGTGTACATTTTCGTCACATCCGCTCTGACAAGTAGCATGGCGTTTAAATATTTTGAAGTTACCGCATTGATTTCACACTTTTTAAGAATTATTTTCAAGACGAAAACAAACTAATATTGAAAAATATTTAGATAGACTTTATTCTAAAGCAATAACGATTGTAATAAATATATTTAACCCTTTTTTTTTAATCAGACGCATATTCCCTATTTATTTACTACTTAAAAATATAAGTAACTCGTGTCTAATATTCTTCAATAATTTACCTGACATTTTTATTATCCCTGATGTCAACATTAATGGAAATAAAATGAATAGTTATCGATAAAAACAAAAGTTAGTTGCAAAAAATACTAATTTGGCATATAAAACAAAAAAGAACATCATTGTGTAAAAAATAATTTTATATTTTCATATATTATCAAAATATAAAAGAACAGTTTATTCAAAACATGTCAAATACTATTAAGCTTCACGCTTCACTATTAAGAAATATCAAACTTATGTGTCATCTTGTTAGTCTGTGATTTTTGACATTGTCAGAATTACGATTTTGGATAGAAAAGAAATAAGATGGTTTCAAGCTATTTTCAGTGAAAATGAATATGGTGTTGACTAGTGCATATAAGTAGTTATAACAGATTAAATTGGGCGATTCCTTTATTATCTCGCGTTTATGATATACAATTTTTTACTACTTATCTCACGAAAAATGGACTAGACATGCCACTTTGCCATTTATAACATAAATCATCTTTGAACAAATTTTAATTAATATAGTGCGTAGATGCGTTCGCCTTTAAACTATTAACAGGTAAACCATAAGCTTAACCAAAATAAGTATATTTAAAATTGAATTTAACCTGTCTGTTCTGGTCCTCCCCCTCGTCGTAGAGCCACTGCTCGAGCGCGTCCAGTTGCGCCACTAGTTTGACACGTTGATCTTCTGACACGAAGTCGTGCAACGTCTCGCCCTCGGACAACTTGCCGCGCAACTCGTACACGTATTCCTCTAGCGCGTTCCGGGCATCCGCGCGCTCCTTTTCTTGACGATCTTGAGCTTGCATTTTACCCTAGAATGAGTGAATAAAAAAGATAAGAGATCTGGCTACCAGGTAATTGCAAAGGAAACCACAGAAATACACCGTCACAGCCGTATATTATTATTAGCCGTATATTATTATTAGTATTCTCACTGAAGTTTTACATTTGTTTTCGTAAGTCTAAAAGTATGAATGATATTTAAAAAGTGTGAATTTAGAAAATAAACACGCCAAAAAGGTTTGCGTAGCAGGTCACCAATAGAGAACAATTATCAATAATACATATATTTATTACACATTAGCTGACCCGACAGACAGAATTAAGACGGGGCAATCTTAATTATAAATATAGAATTAGAACAGTTTTTTTATATTCTATTTACGATATTAACAGCACGCATTTTATCAATCCTATGACAAATGTCATAAAGTTACTCTATATGGTCATGTATATATGAGGTAATAGCGTGTCGGCCGTTGGCGTCGCTCGCGACGTCCAAATTTATTCTCGAGAAGTAACAAATTAAAATCCTATAAACATTATGGTCTATTAATTTTTGTATTGTTACAAGGATAAACTCATTTTTACCTCATGTTCCAAATAGCCGTTAAGTTCCTGTTGCGAGTAACCATGAGTTCGAGCGTCGATTGGCAGCTCGATAGTTTTAACTAGAACCTTTTTAGATTTCTCTTTAGACTTATCCTTTTTATCATCAGCATTTTCCTGAAAATTAAAACCAAAGTTCACAACCAATAAAAGACATTCTTCCCCATCACCGCAAAAGTTTGGAATAGAGAAAAAAACAACTCAAAATAATAAATAAAACTTTGGAATGAGTAGAATTAGAGAGTATTTCCAAACTATGCGGTGACCCATTTGCACCCAACTTATAAAAAACATATAAAAAAAATAAAAGTGTTACCTTTCTTTGCTAGTCGTTATATAAACCATGAACAGCAGGACTATAAAACATGCGTGGACACAGAGATAGAATTTGAAACGAAAAGTCGCTTAAAAAGTAAGTCATTATCGAGTCAAAGGCACATACAGTTTGATTCAAACAACAAAAAATGTGCAAATGGGACCTCAAAATGAGGATGGGGATATCCAGAACTGTGATGTCTGCTGCCAATAAGCAGAGTAAGGGGAATATTATTAAGTAAATAATGATTATTTTATAATTTTTGTTAATATGGCAACAAACACCAGTCAGTTCGGACTGTTTCACTCCGGACACACGCGCTACCGACACGTACCCCGCTGAACCACTGTCCTACTCTCTGTGTCCACGACTGTTTTTGTTGTGGCTCTCCTTTCATTTCATCTTCTCTCACCTCTTGGTTATCAGGACCGTTTTGCTGTTGCTCTTGAGATGCCCCGTTTGCGTCCATCGGAGCCTCTTGACTGTTCACAGTCTCATTTGAGTTTTCTATTTCGACATTATCGTTTTGTGACGCGTCTTGTTTCTTTTCCACCAGAGATGCGGACGCCACCGTTATGATGCCATGAATATTGACGCGAACTTTGAGTTTAACTTTTTGAGACTCCCCTTCTGGTGTTGGTTGCACATCTCTAATATGCCACTGACCTGTATAAATAAATAACGAATTTATATTACTTGTGGTATTGTATGAAAAGTATATTTATTAAATAAGATATAAATATGAAAAGATCATACACATAATTACAGTGACTATAATTAATTAGAAATACCTTATAATATTAACATTAATTCTATATATAATCAACTATTCTAACATACTAACCAATAAATGTATCCGGGTATGGTACTTGATCAGAATAATAAGCACTAACTGTGAATGGTTCCTTCCGATAGAATGTTAACATTTTAGAGAAAGGAGCTGGGTGGAATGCTGGGAACACCTGAAAGTGGCAAGACAGTTATTAAGCCCAGAGCAAGATTTTAAAAATTACTTCATGATTATGATAGTAAACTGATCAAAATTAAAACACAATTGATAAATTTTTTATATTATGAAAGGCCGTCACAAATCTGTCGTATAGTCATGTTTATACTGTATGTAAGTACAATGTAGTCAAGTATATCTTTATGAACATTCATATACATAAAATGAAAACAGTTGTGTAACATATTTATTTTCAGTTTATTTTCAATTAGATATGTAAAATCAAATATCTTAGTAACTTAATATTTGCGAAGATCTTAAGATAAGTTGCTGTACGTTAAGTACCTCTAAATTTGTTTTTGTCTTACCAAACCGCGTTTTCAATGTTGAACATAATAACTAGGACAACACTAGTAAACTTATGGTATCTATACTTAAGGGCGAATTCAGTAGTTGGTCACGGGGGTCGTGACCCCACCTTGGGCTGGGTCCAGGACCTAGGTGTACTACTAACTATAATTGTTATACATAGATGTTTTTTTTGTCCCAATGTAGATTTTGTTTAAGTACTTTCAAATTCTAATTGAACTAATATAATAATACTTTGTATCTATTATTATAAAAAATAACTTCTTATGACTTGACCACGATTATGTGACTTGATCTTGTCTATACTAATATTATAAAGAGGAAAGATTTTATTGATTGTGTGTATCAACAAGGTATACTGAAACTACTGGACTGGTTTAGAAAATAAAACTATCGCCTACATCATAAGTGGGTACAGGCACTATCTATTTTTAGTTTATTCAACCAAGTCCGGAAAGTCTGGAAAGCGAGGAGCAAATGAGAGCACTTGCCCCAGGCGCCAGTGTCAGGGGGGCGCTAAACCGTCATTATATAATACTTATTTACAGTTAAAAAAGAGATACGGCTTTACAAATTTCTTCATACACATTATATGCTACGATGGGATGGATATGCTTCAAAATCCTCAAATGAAATAATAGAAAATTATCATAGACCGAATTTACAACAATATGGGCCTGTACTCGACATAAATTATGACAGCACCTATGTACAGTGAAGTAAATGCACATATATATGGTCGGTATATACCTCCATATCAGTATCCTCCCCCCTGGCGGCCTCCCATGCGAGGCGAACGGCGTAAGGCTGCACGTCGGTGATGCTGAACTCGCGCACACGCACCGCCGGACTCAGCATGGCGCACTGTAACGCGCATCCACGCGCTACCGCCTCGTCCTATAGAACCAATCATGCAATATTCATTAACTATAGGTCTTTTTCACATAGCATGGGTACAGTGTCGTTTGGGATTTGAAGTTTTTAGTGATGTGGTAAAGAAAAATATATATATACATATTTTCGGTCGACTGACAGCAGTTCCACAAACATCACAGTATAATGATCGTAGATGCAATATTTTTGTAATATCAGTAGGCCATGACAGAACATCATGTGACATCTTCACATTTCAATAAACTACGGCTCGAAATATAGTGTTTATGAAAGAAGAAAGATATAAAAGTTTTAAAACTCTTTCCCAAAATAGTCAAGTAGCATATAGTATAACCACCTATGCTATTCTGTAATAATATCAGCCTCGAACCCGCGTCGATCAGTGCTCTCACAGCATAGTTGTTCAATCGAATGTACCATTTATGGCTATTTGAAGTAGGTGATTTTCGATTGATTCTGATCACTGTGATAGCGGACCAATGCTGATTTTATTTCAGAATATAGACAGGGCTCAATCAAAAGTTCGCAAACTGGTCAAAATTATTTTCAAATTTCTCACAAGTAGGGACAAAACTTTCGTAAAAATCACCATATTATAGTAAGTTTTATCTATCTGATTGGGTAAATAACTAAATACCTACCTGGTTGAGTGTGGTTGATGCATTCTTGCCAAAGACTTGTTCAATGAGCCCTTTAACAGCTGGAATCCTGGTAGATCCACCAACAATTTCAACAGAATAGATATCTTCTGGTCGCAGTTCTTAAAGAATAAAAAACACCGTCAACAGACTAATCAGCACAGATTTAGAAAGAAAAGTAATAAAGAATAATACACACTTGCATTATGAAGTATAGCCCTCAAAGTTCTTTCAAATCTGGTGAATGTTTCTGCACATAATTGCTCCATTTGAGAACGCTGCATGTCTCCAGACACATCACGTTCCTCCATAAAGCATTCAATGTTAAGAGGCAAGCGTGTGCTATTAGCAGACATTTGTTTTTTTAACTTCTCCACTTCTTGCAATAAACGCTGGTATGCCCTACAAAAAGTAATAGTATATAGTTAAACTTTTATGCTTTACTTTTAGTTCCACCATTATCTACCCAATTTTAATTACCTTTGATTTTTTCTGGGGTCGAGTTTAAATCTGGTAGTAAAATCTTGACAGAAGTATTCCGCAAGAGCGGCGTCAATATCTCGTCCTCCACACTGAGGATCACTTGCAGTAGCTAATAGTCTTAGTTTCCCTTTGTTGAATGCACAAGCTGCTACCTAACATAAAAAAAAAATAGTTATAAATAACGTTTTTAGGAGAATTTAATGGGATAACATAATCTTTGTAGGAGAATTTGATAAGATAACATTTACTGTTGGATAAATGTACACCCTAGTTCAGTTGTTTGATATTTCAGTGTGTGCCGCAAACAAATGAGGTATATATATTCATAACATAAAAATTTATCAATTGTGCAGAAACAATTCCTGCATAAAAATGCGTTATTAGTGCGTATTTCGTGTCGAAAATATTAAAGAATATATTTTTATACATTCAAAAATACAGTAGAGCACATCAGAACATGAAAACAATTTTTGGATTGAGTAAAAAAGTGAATTGTGATAACATCAAGGTATTTCGACTAGGCGCTCCAAACTCTCGCATTGGAACTTCGCCTCGTCCGGTAAAGGTGATAATGAAAAGTAAAGGGGAAGTAATAGAGGTGCTACGTAATAAAACTAAACTGGCTAAACCTTCATCAATCAAACCTGACCAAACCGCAATGCAACGTGAATATCTAAAATATCTTCGTGACGAGCTGGAAAAACGTAAAAATAGTGGCGAGATGGATCTGACTATTAAGTATGTTCAGGGTCAGCCTAAAATAGTTAGTCATAGGGATCCAAAAAACTAGTTCTCAATGGCCCGTGCTTACCCGTTAATATAAAAATAAAAACGTTACTTGTCGAAATAAAAATACTATACACCAATATACAATCAATTATATCAAAACTGGACCTGTTCTTTGCAAGAGTAAATTTGCACAAACCAGCTGTCATTATACTCACAGAAACGTGGCTAAAGCCAAGTATACCAAATTCATTAATTAAAATACCCGGATATGACATATACAGAGACGACCGCATCGATAGAAGAAGTGGTGGTGTTGCTATATATATTTCTAACCAGGCTCCTTACATAACTGCAAGTAAAAATAGTCGTTTCAATACCAAGTATCCAAATACGGAATGTGTATGGGTGGACGTTGACGTACAGACACACAGAATATTGATATGTGGGTTATATCGTGGTCATGAAACCACACTGGAACAGGACAGCACTTTTCTTCGGGACTTAAGCCTGGCCTCTGAAAATGGCGCCGTGCTGATTATGGGGGACTTTAATTTTGCTGGAGTCAAGTGGCCACTCCAAGACTGTGGATATCTGCTGCCGAAGGAGTTGAGTTTTCTGGAATGGTATAGGGAAAGCAATATGTACCAATTGGTGGACAAGCCAACTAGATTTCGAGATGGAAACCAACCCTCTTTCCTTGACTTAATACTTACAAATGATGAGTGTCTCGTGGCTACTATAGATTATGAAGCGGCTATTGGTAAAAGTGATCATTTATGTCTGATTTCCAGGGTTCAGCTGCAGATACAGAAACCTAATATTAAGCAACAAAAACTCTGGAGAAATTATAATAAAGCAGATTACGAAAAAATATGTGACGAGATAAATACTACCCTTTTGCAATCTGTAAAGAACACTGATTGTCCAAAAAAGCAATTTGAAAATATGCAGAACATATTAATGAGAGCCATACATAATCACGTACCCCAAGTTAATATGATAACTAAAACAAACCTAAACAAACCCTGGGTTAAGAAGGAATTATTGGATATGATGCACCAAAAGAAGATTGCATGGAGGAGATATACCTTGACCGGGACAAGTGACGTGTATCGAGAATATAGAAAGATCACAAATAAACTTACAAATGTAAGTCGTAAATCAAGAGCTATGTATGAAAAAAAATTGTTAGAAGGTGGAGGCAAGAAATTCTATGCTTATATTAGGCAACAAACAACGTCAAAAGTTGGTATACCAGATACACTGCGCGGCTGGCTAGACCAGATTGTAACCCATCCGAAGGAGATTTCTGAGATTTTTGCAGATCAGTTTTCTAGTGTTTTTGAAACTGAGCCTGATATACTCCCGACTATGGATCAGTGTCTCCGAGTCGAAGAATCGGTAGACGAAATCGTTTTCACAAATGTCAAAGTTCAAGCTGCTATAAAGGACATGAAAACAGATGCTTCTGCTGGACCTGACGAAATACCAGTGTCTGTTCTGAGAAACTGTGATCTATCGGAGGCTTTAGCGCTTATAATGCAGACCTCATATGATACTGGGGTACTGCCAGACTTATGGAAAACTGCGACAGTGATCCCAGTGTTTAAAAAAGGAAGCAAATTAGAACCCTCAAACTATAGACCAATCAGTTTGACTAGTGTCATATGCAAAGTCATGGAAAAAATAATAGTTAAACAGATTAGAAAATTTCTTGGTAAACAAAAAGTAATTAGCGATCAACAACATGGTTTTTGTCCGCATAGATCGACGGTGTCAAACCTACTATCATCCTTATCGTCGTGGGTTAATAGTCAGAACGTTCAGGAGCCTGTCGACATTTTATATCTTGATTATGAAAAGGCATTTGATAAAGTTCCTTTCGGTAGACTTTTGCAAAAACTCGAGTTAATTGGCATTCGAGGAAAACTATTAAACTGGATAGAGGGATTCTTGAGACAGCGTACATTTCGGGTAAAGATTGGCGATGTCTTTTCGAATGAGAAAGAAATACGGAGTGGAGTACCCCAGGGGTCCGTACTTGGGCCGATTTTGTACATTCTCTACACATTTGACCTACCTAAATCTCTGAACTGCTGTGTTAGCATGTTTGCAGACGATACTAAGATTTTTGCAAATCCACTCATCGACTATGATCTCCTCCAAGCGGACGTAACTCGTATAGTAAAATGGTCAAGGGAGTGGCTTGTCAAACTTAACATAGATAAATGCACTGTTCTACACATTGGTAGTCAAAATCCTCATTACACTTATGATGTTGAGGGCATAACACTGAAAGAAGCCAAAGTACAAATTGATTTGGGTGTACATATTGCTGAAAATCTTAAATGGGAACATCATATCTCTGCTATCACAAAAAAGGCCAGTAGTTTCATATACCTTATTAGGAAAGCGTTTGGTCATTTGACACCAGAGATGGTAATTAAGATTCATAAAACTTATGTTAGGCCTATTTTGGAGTATGCCTTTCAAATCTGGAGTCCTTATTTCAAAAAAGATATAGAAATGTTGGAAAAAATTCAACGCAGGTTTACCAAACTCCCTAAAACACTTAAGAATAAAACTTATGAGGAAAGGTTGAAAGCTCTAAAACTCACCACATTAAAGGAACGGAGAGAACGTGGAGACTTGATAGAGGTATATAAAATACTGCATGGACATTACGACATCAAAAATTTCGACAAGCAGTTATTTCAATATTCCCATAACACTCACTTGAGAGGACATCATCTAAAGTTGACAAAGAGGGCGTCGTCTATAAATCCACATAAGCACTTTTTTAGTAACAGAGTGGTAGAAGCTTGGAACAGATTACCGACAGATGTAGTTTCAGCACAGACTACTAACCAATTTAAAAATAGATTTGACAAATTCATGCAACAGGAAGAATGAAATATCACGCAAAAAAGATATCGGGATACAGGCCACATCAGTTGTTGCAACTGTCTGCCTGTCTTTGATAATAATAATAATAATAATAATAATAATTACCTGAAGTGAGCTATGACCAAAATCAACAAACACAACATTTCTGGGCTTCTCCTCAAGTGCAGGCAGGTCCTGCTTGTAAATACCGTAAGTTAAAGCTGTTGCAGTTGTTTCGTTCATCAAGCGCAGCACATTTAGTCCTGAAAAAGACATTACTTGTTACCTTTTCTGGTAGTAAATTCTTCAATGTTTAGGAAAGCTACTGGAAGAGGTGTATCATATCACAATGCAAAAAGTAAATTGTTGTAGTAAAAAAAAAAAGTAAAAAGTAATAGTTGTAGTTTTATTAAATTGCTATCAACGATTTATTTAAGAAACTAGAATCAGAAACCTGTTGAAAACCCGTTTAAGAAACATTTAAGTATAGTTTGAGACATGTTTAACTTTAAATTCTCAATTCAAAAACTGGGTTTTATTATGATTTGGTACATAGCTGACAAATAACCATACCTATTTGTCGTCCAATTTTAATAAATTTAGAACTTTTTTTGACATTTCTATACATAATATGAAACAAGATTGCTTCCTGCCATCTGTATGCTGAGATTTTTCAAACTACACAATGGATTTTACTGCGACTTTCATAAACATACAGTGATTCATGAGGAAGCTTTATATGTAAGAATAATACAGGACCATGCTAGTTACGCAACAAAATCTGAGCACAATCAGTCAGCTTTAGTAGTTCTATTTCAATGAAATGATCTAATTGTGGTCTAACTTAAATAATTCAAAGGCAAAGACATTTTAATAATTGTGAAAGTCAACACCACACTTAACATTAAACTTATTCTGTTGAAACACTATTTCTTCTTCATCCATTTAATAAATTATGAAGTAGTTACTCATTTTCACTATTGATTCTTTATAGAGACCATAAAGGTCAAGGTTTGTGGTTGTGGATAATAAATATACATCATAAGTAACATCACACAGAACTATGAAAACACATACAACAAACAAACACACACATCTGAGTTGGCATATGCTATTTGTTACATCTTATAGAAATCACTATAATGATTTTTATGAATTTAAATTTTTAAGTAATCAAGCTTATTAAAACACACATTTTCATAATACTGAATGTTATGTGCTTTTAAGTTTTCCTCAACTAATTCCATTTAATTAAATGAAAGATGTGTTTTCATTAAAGATATGACAAACTTACCAGATATTGCAGCAGCATTTAACAAAGCATTTCTCTCTGCATTGGTAAAGTAACTTGGAACTGATATCACACAATCATTAATCTGCGTTTGCAGCGCAGTTGCAGCTATATCCTTCAGTTTAGTAAACAGCATAGCAGTGATCTGTAAAAAAATGGTTTAATGATAAAAATGTTACACTAAACAATATAGAGCAGAAACAACATAAAACCTGATATGTTGTTGAAAATGGTATGGTACACTATATCAAGATTAAATAACAGATATTTGAGTTCATATATTATATGGGAAGAAAGGCTGTGAATCTTATTTATTTACTTATTAACAAAATCAAAAGGCGGTCTTAATGCCAGAGGTAATTTAACAATTTTATCATATTTGTGAACCTGCAACTACTTAACCTATATTATTGCAAATATTCAGTATTTCCTCACGATGTAACAAAAAAACCCAATAAATATTTAATGATTTGTATAGGCTATTTATATTATTTTAAATGAAAACTGTATGAAATTCAATTCTTTAATTTTATCTGAATCAAACCATTAACTTGATGTACCACTTCTTTGTTTGTAAGAATGTGACATGCAATAAAATAATTTGAATCTGAAATGTATTATAACATCAACAAAGAAGCAACTTAATTTTAATTTGTATATTTTAATTTCTATACTTTAAACATTTTTTTTTAATAAGAATCTATTCTATTGAATCAGTGTTGGTAATAAAACAGAAAACTGCAATACAAACCTGTTCTGGACTAAAAACATTATCCTCGCCAAGATAATTAACTCGTATTCCAATTCCACCATCTGGTCTTTGTTCTGTTCTGAATGGGAAGTGTTTTATTTCTTTCTGGACTTGAGGGTCAGAAAACTTTCTTCCGAGTAATCTTTTGAATCCAAATACAGTGTTTTTCATATTCGTTACCATTTGGTTTTTGGCAGCAACACCTAACATACGATTTTTGGGTGAAAAAGCCACACATGATCTGAAATTATATAAAAAACAAATTATCATAGGTGACTCAAAATCAAAAACTTCATTCGGTTCTCCGTATAAGTCTTTGGGTTCTCCAATTTAATGGTTATGTCGTAGGAAGTTCAAATACGTTTTTGAAATACATATTAGTAAAATGATTAACACGAAACTCCTTCAAGGTTTCTTTTATATTACATAGAAAAAAAAAACATGTCACTATTAGTTGAATACTTACGGTGTCCCTCGAAGGCTATAATCGTTGGCTATAGTTTCTATACCACCTGCTTTTGCAACAGCGATATAGCAAGATTCATTTCCAAAATCTATACCAATCACAGACATAGCGGCCATTGTTGAAGAAAAATTTCTGTATTTTGGTTCTGTAATTTATTCTCGATAGTATTTTAACGAAAAACCGATAGAAACACGTTGTTTTAGCCTAGCAATCACTCCATCAACTCACGTACAATCAACCGCAAACACCGCAATCGCAATCGAACACCGGTTGGTAATCTATTCTATCAAACGGCCAGCCGTAGGTACCTACCCGAATTTTCTAGAATCGCTAGTGTCAAAGTTATGTATGTCAAAATGGTGTCATCAGTGTCAAAAAAATATGTTGTTGCTTACTAAAAGCAAAGGGATTTAGTCCATGCAACCTATATAGGTATCGTTGCTTCTTTACCATAGCCAAATAAGAGCTATTATACTTCGCGCCTCGTTCTCGAGATTAGTATTTATTTGATTAGATTATATTACTAGTAGTATCGCATATGTGTCACTACTCCGGCACTATAGTTGAGATTTCTTTGCATTTGCTTTTTTTTTTTTTTATTACGAGGGTAGTTCTCATCTTCTTAGTCGATACCGTTCCCTGCCATCTTCATTCGCTTTATAGTGCCCGACTGCTCCGGTCGTATTCCCAATAACGTGTATAACAGATCGTTAAAATGCCGAAACGTATGAAAGTTAGAACATGTGAAGAAGAGTTAAAACATCCTCAAAAGAAAATGCGTAAATTAGAACAAAAAATATGTGATAAGGAAAGTTCAGTTAGTGACTTGTGCCCGAATTTATGGGTACGGAATGCAATCAGAAAAGTCATTGGGGCTTATTCAACGCATTCAGTAAATCAGTTAGCGTTCAATCCATTGGGGATCTACCTAACTTTGACAAGATAACTATCGTTATCTAAAATTGCTATTGTACATATCGTACCTATCAGACTATAACGTATTTACGTTAAAACAAAAAGTATGCACCTGAACTGCCGTTGGGGTTGATTCGTCGCATACTTTTATGGATGACTATGATCGTCATAGTTATAATATGAATGAAAATCTCAAACGATTTTCTTATCTTTCTGCCACCCCACCTATGGTGCCGAGTGATTGGTTATTAGAACAACCTCATTATGACGATGAACCACAATCCATGATTGGTATCAGTGACTTTCAAAACTTATACTATACACTGAGGATGACTGTGTCGACGCGACGACCGTTAACGAACCACCTGTCGAGTCAGAGTTACGGCCCCAAGAAGGGGTCCATAACGAAAATGATCTGGACACCGATATCCTTTAAATTCTCGGCGAAAATCCTTCGCACTTAGAGAAGCTCGGTAATGATAATAACTCATATTACCATAGAGGGGCTTAATAAGGTTATCCGTAAGGAGCTGATAGCGAAGTACCCAATTGCTGCTAATTGCTCTCTTATTAGTACTCCAAAACTTAACCCTGAAATCAAGGCTGGCATACTTGAAAATACTCTTTAAGAGGGACAAAGGCATAGAGGGTAAACAAACGCAAAATGGCCAGTGCTATTGCTTGTCTTGGAGAAATAATTATTGCTCATCTTAACTCTAAGGAAAAGGATAAAGAATAACCGCTTTTGCTAATGGACCGCAGTCGTTTACTGTGCGATATTCATCATAGCGATTCAGTTACTAGAAGAAACTTTATAATGTTTTCATTAAAAAAGATCTATTCATTTTTATTCGGCGAAACATTGACTGAAACTCTTATGACAGTAAAATCAATAAACAAGTCTGGAATCGAATTAAAGGCTGACCCTTCTACAAAAAATATAAGTAAACGGCAAAAAATATCTAATCAGAATCAGTTAAACCGGAAAGCTCCAGGGCCGGCGTACAGGCAACCAGGCCCATCGCAGAGGAGTCGCGAGCCTGCATTTCCGCGCAGATTACCTCCCCAAGGCAGTGGCCGCGTCCGCAACCGATGCCGCCGCCACCACCGCCGCCCGCCACCGTCTCAAACACAGGGACGACGTCGCTACTGAATACATTCCCGAAGGATTCACGAATCGATTACCCTGGTGGCAGCAACCTTACCAGGAACGCGTTATCAAGAAGGAGCTTACCAACTTCCTCCTTGTATATAATGTTAGCATCATTATCCTTAATGCACTCAGTCAATATGACGTATTCTTAAAAAAAAAAAAAAAAAGTATGGTGGACCTTTTGCAATAATAATTCCATTGACTTATTTACAGCTTCAGTCCCAACCGTTATTTACTTCCTTACTGTGTTGTTTAACGATGGTGGTCAATTCGGTACATTGAATTCATGCAGATCTGCCTTATCTTTTTTATTAGGATCACACATAGGTAAAGATGACAGAGTTCAGAGATTCTTAAGGGTGTGTTTCGTCTTCAACCACCCCTTCCAAAGTATAACTTTACATGGGATACGAATTGCGTTTTAGATCAGATAAGCCAATGGTTCCCAAATGAGGACCTAACGTTAGAGCAATTGACTAAAAAGACATTAACCTTACTGGCATTAACTACAGCACATAGAATGCAAACGTTGTCAAAAATCGAAATCAAAAACATACACATATCTCAGTCAGGTTGTTATTAAAATACCACAAATTATTAATACTTCAAAACCAGGTCGTCAGCAACCAATACTTTATCTACCATTTTTCAACAGTAGGCCAAATGTGTGTCCAGCAAAAACACTACTATGTTATATTAATGAGACAAACTCCCTTAAGAAAATCTAATGCTCTGTTTATAGGTACTAAAAAGCCGTCAGTGCGATCCGTAATACTGCGGGCTGGAGGGGCAACTCTACCGTGTTCGCACGATTTTACAACAGGCCTATTCATAATCATGGTTGTACATCATTAGCCCAATCAATTATTGACCATTAAGTAAATAAATCAGTGTATCAAAATTTCGTAATTACTACCTATACTATAATTTAGAATGGAAATAAATGTCAAAAGGAATTGTTCAGTTTGTATGGGCACTTTGGCTTTGAGTGGACATTATCTACAGTTATAAAAACATTATTTTTCAATATTTCATATCTTAAGGTTAGAAATAAGAAGCAGAGATGGTTAAATAAAAAAATTGTAGATTTACACATATTTACCTTTAATTTGACAATACAATTCTACAATCAAAAGACAGTACTTCTAAATACACTTATTTATAAGAATAGACTTTACATGATCACTTAATAAATAAGTTACACTGCTCATACAGTTTGTCTTCAGCTGGAGGCTGGCATTCGGGTGGTCAAAAAAGCAGCTACATTTATATAAGTTGGTCACATGATGTCCTTATCGTTAAATCTTCCATGGCCTCTCATGACGTGTGCTTGCAGTCAAACACAACTATTCTCCTAATTTGTGCTCACCCTCGAGAATAACTTTTCGCCTTGGAGTGGCTGTAGACTCACATTTACATCTGCGTCTATTAACAGAAAGAACTATTTTAAAACACCTATCCAGTACATTTGTACATTACTATTAAAAAATAAATTAACATTAAATGTTGAACTACAGGTACAGTATTCCCACGCCTTCGCACATGTAAATAGTAGCCTATATCATCCTGATGAAAGATGTAGCTTCCCTTAAGTAAAAGGATTTTTTTACATCAGTCTTGTAGTTTCGAAGTTTGTTAACAAGCTCAACTAACAATCAAATTTTTCTAGTTTATAATATAAGTAAGGATAAGAGGCACAAAGCTCACAAACTAGTTTCACTATTTTTACAATAATAAGGCAAAAATAATAAACAATTTTACCTGATACCATGTGGGAATGGTCAGTCGCTGTGGTGAGTCGCAACCAGGAACAAAACAATATACTTGAGAATCAGGTGCTCTTTTATAATCCGGTAATGATCTATATAGGTTCCGGAATATTATATCTGCTTGCTGCTAACATAGATGACAGACGCGATATGGATCTGCCATACACCTAAAGAGTATAATATAATATTAAATTATTTGTCAACAAAAGGTTACTTAAACGATATGGCAGCGATATATTAATGTTTTACTTGTCATAAAGGAAGCTTAATTATGGTAAAATAATCAAAATAAATAAAAATAACTATAATCCTACCTGTCGTGGGGATATCCAATTAATAATTATATTACTAATGTGTTTCTTTGACGGATATTTTTTGCAGATGTGATCTAGTACGTAATATAGATCTTCCACAATTTATACAAAGCTGCCGACGATGTCCTCTACTTGAGCTTGGTTTGGTGTCCATAGGTATAGCCGGGTCATCATTTCGAGAGGTTAATAAATAAATTGGTCGAAAATAACAACAAAATCAAAACGTAAGAATTATCATTATCACTCAAATGTCTTTGTTGACAAAAGTGAAATGGTGCTGCCCTATAAAAATTATTAATCGTTTAAAAAGTAATCGATGGTTTGTGTAAATTAACTTATATATCTAACCGAAAAGGATTATTTCTTATGTTTTTAATATATATGATACATGATATTGCAAAAGATTACCTAATGTATATGTATTAATATATAAATACTTTAATTACTTTTATTTTTATTAAAGTTAAAACTTATCGATTAATCGATACTATTAGTAATAGTACTTCAATAACATTTATTGATATGGAAACACAGTGAAATATGTTAACAAAACACATCCGAATCCAAAAAATACTTTTTTATGTGATATTTTTCATGTTTAGTTTCCCATGACGAGAGTATTAAAAATAATTTTTCTTTCAGTTTTAATAATAATTTACTGTTTACATATTTTTTACTTATTAGCTTGTCCACCAAAAGCCAAAATTGAACAATTCTCTTTATGTTCTTTTTTTGTTAATAATTAATAAATACTTATATATATAAAAAGCAAGTTATCGTCATTTATTGATGATATTTCCTAAATCTATTTTTCAACACTCTCAAAGTCTACTAGTAATATAATCTAATCAAATAAATACTAATCTCGAGAACGAGGCGCGAAGTATAATTAATGATTAAACGAACTTACCAAGTGAAGTTCTATCATAATTATACGAAGCGCCTCGTTCGAAGAGATTAGTAAACCCGCCCAACCCTGTGAACATTATTCCCAATACTAAGCTCTCCGGAAATACATCAATAAACCAGATCTATCTCTAAACTTAATGAAGATGGCAGGGAACGGTATCGACTAAGAAGATGAGAACTACCCTCGTAATAAAAAAAAAAAAAGCAAATGCAAAGAAATCTCAACTATAGTGCCGGAGTAGTGACACATATGCGATACTACTAGTAATATAATCTAATCAAATAAATACTAATCTCTTCGAACGAGGCGCTTCGTATAATTATGATAGAACTTCACTTGGTAAGTTCGTTTAATCATTAATTATCGTGCGTCCAAACTGAAACGTAACAAACGAGTGTGATTCGATGTTCACAACCAAACATTCGTTGGCTTTTGTGATTGTCTGGGACCGATTCCTTAGCCGTAGCCGAGCTAATGTAAAAGTAACGATCAAAAAATCAACTTTTGCTAGAGTCGCCATCTAGTGAGGTGCATTTTAGTGCTTTTTTTAAAGTAGCAAAGTGACTGTAAACAAAAAATACATATAAAATATCAACTGGAAGCTATAGTATGTTATTTTATGTCTTTTTATACTTGTTTTTTGGTAGAATCATAAAACAAAAACAGAGATGGTGGACAACAAATTTTTTTACATAGAAAAATATGTATAATTCTTGGCCGTTCGTTTGCTAGGGGACGCACTATTGGATGAACTTGTTCTTATGTGATTTTATAAATATTCTGTGTAGGTCACCTTCAAAGCTTTCAAAGTCAACGTCGAAAACTATCCTCTGTCAAAAAGTTGGTATTATCGAGGTCAAAAAACGACTCGTGAGAGGTCTGTTGAACATTGAGTTTTCTTATATTACCCGCTTTTCAGGTCGAAGTAATTCAGTATGAGCGGTGAACCACAAGCGAAACGTGTCAAAATGAGTGCTCTGGAGCAATTAAAACAGTTTTCCACAGTAGTGGCTGATACCGGGGATTTTGAAGGTTAGAATTTTAAAATTATAGTCTTTTTAATATCACCGTTTCATCCGAAATGAATTTTAAGTGTCTATTTTCTATCAATAATTGCTCTCTAATGCTTCAGCAATTTTGATGATGACTTTTAAAATGCCCTTCATAATGTTGATGTTACCATAATGACCTTGTAATGTCTTTCTAAGCTGCGATTTTCAATCAACGCGGCAGATATTATGTCATGGTGTAATAGTACTTATATTCAACTATTCTTAATTATTTTTTTAGCTATGAAAGCCTACAAACCTACAGATGCCACAACCAATCCTAGTTTGATCCTGTCAGCTGCTGGCATGGATCAATATCAGCATTTGCTCGATAAAGCGATCAAACATGGGAAAGAAACAGGCAGGTATGAAATTAGTCATCAAAATGAAATGTATAATCAAGATTTTGAGGAAATATTAATCTTTCCATTTTACACCCATAGTACATTATAAATCTGTGGCAACAAGTTTTTATGAAATTATTTTGGTACTTAATGAAAGATCTGTGAAATGTTAGTACTCATCAGTTTTTCACTCAAAAAATTTAATAATGGGTATTTTTTGTCAGTTCCAGTAATAAAAAAAATCTATGCAAATTCTAAAGAAAGGGATACTTTTTTCTTATATATGTCATTGAATTATGTAACTTGTAGTAGTATTTTATGATTTTTATATTTAATGAAGGGAAACAGATTATAAGATTTGTAACATTAAAGTTAGATAAATTTATACTTTAATAGTGTAATAATTGTTTTTAGTGAAATAATGAATAAAAGTAGTGTCAGGGTCTAATAACTGTTCTTTTGGTTCATTTGATTAAGAGGTTCAAATATTATTCCTTTTTACAGTACTCTTGAGGAGCAAATTGCAGAAACTTTGGATATGCTGAGTGTTCTATTTGGCTGTGAAATTCTTAAAATTATTCCAGGCAGAGTCTCAGTAGAAGTTGATGCAAGGTACATTATATTTCTATTTTTGTCATAAAAATCTTTTAATAGGGTTGTGCCCTACGAGTAAAAATGGTTTCTGTTTTGTGTTCGGAAAATATGAACCATTTTAACTTATAAATATTTAACACAATAAAACTAATTTGAAATATTTTACACTTTGAAAACTTCAAAAAAGTAGAGAAAATATTTTAGAAAAATTTATGAAATTAAATTAGTCACATAAACCTAACAACTTTCATTACAACAGCTATAAATATAAACACAAATAACATAGATGTTATAAAGATTGTCCAGACACCCATATGTTGTTTTGCTACCAAAACACTGTGTGGCATCACTTAATGGTTTGAATTTGTAGGGAGCGTTTTTGGCCAACTAGCAGCAGTTCCACAAACATAAAACTTTGAATCGCAGACATGCTGTTACTTCTATATTTTTTCTCAAATATTAATGGCCTATAAATTTGTAAAAAAAAAAAATTGTCATCTAGCCTAACTATAGGAGTTAGTTCTAACTATAATTGTATTTTATTATCACTTATCTCTCTTATTTTACTTGTGAAATTAATGCAGTGAACCTAACTTCATGCATCAAGTTTATAATGTTAATTTTGTTTAGTTTAATACGTAGTTGTTCTATTATAGGTAAAGGATATAATGAGTTAATTTGTGTAATGTATATTTTTTTAGAATATCCTTTGATAAAGATGCAAGCATTGCAAAGGCTATTAAGTTAATAAATATGTTTGCTGAACAAGGAATAAAAAAAGAAAGAATATTGATTAAGCTGGCATCTACATGGGAAGGCATTCAAGCTGCAAGGTAAGTGGATGTGAAGTAAATTATCAGGATTTAGTTATTTATATATTTTTTTTGAAGATGCACTTTAGATCGAATGGTTTATCTTTATTGCAGTATTAAACATTTTAAGAAAGTTTATCTCATTGACTCTTGTTGTTCTTCAAGAATGATTTATCTAATCTTGGCCTTAGTCTATTTATAATAAGAGTTAAATAACTGTTAAAAGTGTAAGATTACTGTTTTTTGATTTTTTAATATTTCAAATTTTTGTTTTACGTTAAAGAGAATTGGAGAAGAAACATGGGATCCATTGCAACTTAACACTGCTGTTTTCATTATATCAAGCGGTTGCTTGTGCTGAAGCCAATGTCACACTTATTTCCCCATTTGTTGGGCGTATTTTAGATTGGTGAGTTTTTAGTAGGTTTTTAAATACTTTATTAGTGTTATTAATAAACAAAGTTTGGCATCAGAATAAATTTACGCTGTAATTTTACTATTATATTAGTAGTTTTAATTGAATTTGGTTAACCTTTGCCAAGTCTGTTTATTAATAGCACTGTATAACATTATATGCATAAGTAACTTATTTGTAACAATTACACACTTAAATTGTTGAGCCAATTTGTGAATTTATTATGAGATTCAGGTATAATTTATCTTGAAATGTTACCACAGCAATACAATACACGTTACAAATATAGTTTGTGAAACTTTTTTATTTTACCTCCCAAAAGAGCCCTCCATATTGATATATTAATTACTTTGCATAACCACATTTGGCTTTACATCCCGACACATGTATACCAAATATGTATGCCAGCTATGACAGGTTTACAGTCAGACAGAGACAGACAACCGAGTGATTCTTTATGAAGGTTCAGCATTTTTAACAATTGCTGAAACCTACAAATATATAATTTATACTATTGTCAGTTATGAATATGATTGATAAACTATTATATGAAATAATTTATAGTAATGTGCTGGCTTTATCTAGGCAGGGAAAATTCAGTGAAAATTTTTGGTCCATCCCAATCCCAGCCACTTTTAAGATCTTTTACAGCAGCTTTTAAGTAACTTTTAGAGTAACAATTTGAATGTTTCAGGTATGTTGACCATACAAAGAAAACTTATGCAGGCAAAGATGATCCTGGTGTGCAGTCTGTAACCGACATTTTCAACTATTACAAAAAGTTTGGTTACAAGACTCAAGTCATGGGCGCTTCATTCAGAAACACTGGTGAGATTCGCGAACTTGCTGGCAGTGACCTGCTCACTATAAGCCCTAAACTTTTACAGGAACTTGCTGACAATGATGAACCACTAAAGAGGGTTAGTACTAATTAAACTCAATAATTATCGTTTTTTGTAGAGTTACATTCTGTTATTTAAGATAATAAAGCAAAAATAATATCTTCACATTACTCACTTTAAATAAATTTCAATCATGGGTTTAATATCTTAATATATGTTCATAAATGTTACTTTATAAAAAAAAATGTCTATGTTACAGGTTCTTGATCCCAAAGTTGCTGCTGAATGTGACATTGAAAAAATTTCGCTTACCGAGGCACAGTTTCGCTGGCATCTTAATGAGAATCAAATGGCTACTGAAAAGCTTTCTGATGGCATAAGAAAGTTTGCTGCAGACACTAGAAAACTAGAATCTCTAATCAAAACTTTACTCGCTAAAAATTAATTGAGTTATACGTTTTAACGACGTTACAATTTTTATACTTGTTGTTTTCTTTATTAGCAATGGACGAAATATTTACAAAAAGAAACTTTTACAAAAGTTCTATGGGTTGCCTGACTGGTGCTATTATTAATTAGAAATTAGTCGAGTGTGACTCTTAGGATCGGGTTGCAAATTCCGAAATAAAATATATGTGGTACAATTAATATTTTACACATATTAGTTATTCAAATTGCGAAACATATACAGTTAAGGTTTTCGTATTGAATTGTTACGTCTTAAAATAATAAAAAAAAACAAGTGAATATAATGTGGGAACAATGAAAATAACATTCCAAATTTAACTGATTTTTATGATTAAACTTAAGCTTGGGATGTGGAATTTACTATTTTTGATATTCAAAATAAAAATATTAAAATGAAATATATGTTTTTATTTTAGCATATACCACTTTTTATCCAACTATTACAAATCCTTGTATTATCTAATACTGATCTAAAAGCTAATCCACCTAGTATATTTAGTATCAGTAGCGGCTACAGATTTTTGTCCTACAAATCTACTATCGTGTACGATTAATCTATGTTAATAATATAAATCTAGTTGTGATCATGCTATAAGGCATATTAAAAAACAAAAAAAATTACAATCTAAGATTAGTGGTTTCGTATAGGTTCTTATGAAATCTTTGCTGGATCCAACAGTCTGGATAGGTGTACGTGCGTACTCCTAAAAAAGAAAAACTGTATAAGTCAAGGTTGTTTCTTGTATAAACCTAGTTAATTTTAATGAAGGTATGATATATTGAATATTAAGAAAATGTATCGTAAAGACATCGATATTTTTTTCAAAAAATAGAACAGTCGTCAAACCTTATAAATAATACTTATATAAAAGCGGCTTATTCAAGAAACTCCCATTCCCCCGACTTTAATAGCGTTTTCTTGAATTAGTCGCTTTTGAGTTTTGAGATATTATTTATCACTTTTTTAATGCATAAAGTCGATAAAGTATTTCGAAAAAATATCTTGCTTTTTAGTTACATTGATGTTATTTATACTGGGAGGAACAAAATGACCGATACAGCCAAAAGTCGATGCTGAAAATGTCCACATCCTCTCTGAAGACTGAGCTAAGCACGCTCTTTTCAATGCCGGTGCATGCACGCGCAAAACATCATATTTCACACAAAACTAAACACAATCTTCACTAAACTAAACTTAACACTCAAGACGAACACTCTAGTATATTATTAACAAGAATTCAATTAAAAATGCACTAGAACAAAACAAAAATCGACAAAAAAGACGCTTCGCGGCGGTGCGTCGGCGGCGATGCGCAACAACACTCCAGCGCAAAAGGTCGACGGCGACTGATCGGCCGGAAAATATCGACAGAATAATGAAGCCGCCTGGCGGCTGGCGGGCGGGTGGGGCTTTGATATCGAGGGACGAACTCGGTTCAAATTTTTTTTTCGTCTTTTGATATCACGCATTTTATAATGTTCTTTTTAAATGCTATTTTAATAACAAATTCCTCAATGATTTTAAAACAAAGTTCATTTGTGTTAATGATGAATTGCTGGAAGATTTGTGAGTTTATCGAGTTTAATTAACGATCCCGTTGTTAAAAGAGTATTACCCCATTCAAACATTATTTTGGAGAGCTGCTCTTTTAAAATAACGTAGGTTAATGTTAGACTGATCTCTCTACAATAATTTAGGAAATTTTACACTCGGTTTCTTAATTGAGAATTTAAAGTTAAACGACTCAAACTAACATCACTTAGTTTTCGTTTCTGATTTTAGTTTTTTGATGATCAGTTGATAGCAGTTAGATAAAACTAAGACTATTTGACTTGTGAAATTAAAAAACTTAGGTTATTGAGAATAAGCAGTAGAAATTTTCTACTTTTTTCTAATCAGAAACCGGCTGTTAGTCTGTAAATCGATTTAAGCATTTTGACTGCCTTGTTTATTGATTTGCATGAAAGCAGTCTTATAAAAAACAAACTAGTTTATTTCGTTCTTAGAAATGAAGAAGTCAATGACCGATTTAAAACTTTTCCTTAGTACGTCCCAAAAACAGCTGACTCAGGGTTGAAAACACTCATTTTTTTTCAAAAACTTTGTAATGAAATATCTCCGAAACTATTTGACCTAGACTTGTAATTTTTTTTTACATCATATTAAAGACAAATAGTACTCTCCAGGAACCTCGGGAGTGTCGGTCGTTCTGTTCCACCGAGAATAATAGGTAACACTAAAAGTATTAAATATTTATATAAGATATGCTGCTTGGTATTATATTGTTTTAAGCTCGACCAAGTTAATATTTTGAACTTAAAAGTGTGCGAGTACTAGAACACGTAACTACAGAGGTTCGGAAGGAGAATGGGCTTTTGATATGGAGTTTAGTCCAATAATTGTAGTACTTTCTGATTATATAATGTCAACCAATAGAATCACTTCTTTTTATTTAATCAATTGCAAGTTAGCGAGTTTTAAGAGACTTCAAATCCGAAAAGGAGGTTCTATGTTCAACTTTTTTCCGCGAATTGTTGACCGATTTGTAAAATTATTTTTTATTCGATAGCATCATGGACCGATGTGACCCCATTTTATCGAAATCGAATGATCTAGCTAGATGATATGTATCAGCGAAAAAAACAAAAGATTGCGTATTTTGCATTAATTCAAAAAATCTGAAAGGTGTATTTTCTATGTTCAAAAAGCATGAACATTAAAATATATATATAATTTACTGCAATAAGAGTACCCAAACGTATTTTGTCTACTGTCCACTTTGAGAATAAATTATTTTTTAAACACCTCCATTTTTTCACCTACTTAAAAACCATTATAACTTCGATTTAAATTAATTCATTACTGTAAGCTATATTAGCGGAGATTAAACATTAATTTTAAACGAGACTTTTACTATAACTCGCAAGAGTTAACTTCGGTAATACAGAACGGCGCTCAGGGGCGCGACCGCCCAATTCGTGGACGTAGCCGTAGTCGTAGCTATAACCTACGTTCTATCGATATTTCTTATGAATCTATTTATATTCTTTAAAAATTATTTGTTTTATTTATATATTTTATCATACATTTTGGTTTGTTTTTCTTTTCGAAATTGCATTATTTGTATCAATTCGACATTTCGTAAATTTCGTTTAACTTTAACAATATCAACAGATTCATGTTAAACACCTATCTTTATAGGGGTAGGTTATAGCTTCGACTACGGCTACGTCCATGAGTTAGGCTGCCGCGCCTCGGTCTCAAGTTAACTCTTACGGGCCTGCCAATGAAAATGATTATTGAAATGCAACTTTATTAAATCCAGGTTCACACAAATATGATCGCAATCCAGCGTACAATTCAGGGATCGGTTTTTGTTCAGGGGTAAGTTCTTCTTCCAGCTGAGGTAACATTGCTGTGTTGACATTTGAAAACAGATCCAACACCCAGTCTGGTATTTCCAAGTTCAAAATATCCTGATATCGTTCGGTGAAGTTAATATGGAGCTTTTCCAAATGTTGGTAGTAGGCAAATAAATCATTATTACTGCAGGATTTTGATAAATTCGGAAAATTGTGAAACTTACGTTTGCTCATATTCTTCTTGTTTAGAAGCAGTTTGCCTGCGAAAGCAGCAACGACGTTTTTTGTTTTAATCAAATTTAGTTCATCGCCTTTCAATGGACATTCATGTCGTTTAACAATTATATATAATATATCATTCTTTGATGTAATGAGCTTGTTGTGCATTCTGTATCTTTAGTTGCCAAGATGTGATAGAGTTATCACAAAGTTAGACAAGTTGTAAAATCGAGTTAAACAATTACCTCTTGATAGCCAACGAGCTTCCAGTATGAAACAACAAACGGTTAAAGTCTTCGTCATTAGTATAGTAACATAAAGGTTATTAGTAAGTAAGTAACACAAACTTGATGAAATAATCTATTATTCAAAGTGGTGTTGTGACTTTTATTGACTGCTTTGATGATATACTTGTAGTGATTGATTGAATAGTCGTTCAGTGAAGTATCTAGCGACCAAATGTTGTCAATGAATAACGCAACGTACAGCAAGTACATCTGGAATTTGTTTTTTTAAGTGCGTTACGAAGCCTTTATGGCACCCTGTCATAGCCGGAGTGCGATCCGTAGTAATTAATATAATATTTTTTGAGGAAATCTCTTTCTCCTTACAAAACTTCTAGGAAACAAAAGTTCTTCACATATTTTCTCATATTTAATAAACCGCACATAAGACGACGACGCTTCATTAGTTGGTAAAGTGGACTCATCGAATTGAATTGAGAACTGACTTGTTTTATCAGTTAATTACTAACCTAAAGAAAACCTCCACCCGACTTCAATAGCATTTTCTTGGATAAGTTGCTTTTGAGAGAAGTATATTATTTTTCACTTTTAAAGTTATAAGTCGGTTCTATTTTATTTTAGTTTTTTTTTATTTCATTCGCCTATCAAAAGTCTTGAAGTTACTGGTATCCTTAATACCTATTTAAAATAAATTAAATCGTTTTTTTCCAACAATTAAATCTTATTACAAATCCAATGAATTCGATAGTTTTGGCAGGCAAAAATATTTAAATATGCCAAATGCAATAAAGCACTGGATCTTTAGCTCTACGATTTCATTAAATGTTTTTGGTAAAATAAAATAAATACATTCGTATTCTAATTTCATCTAATATTCGTTTTAAATAAATAGTATAAAATAAATGCTATACACGAAATTCTGTAGATATTGGCTACGTCTCAGCTGACTAAGCTTGTTAAAAAACTTGGAGCGTGGTTCTTACATAGAATTTGCCTTTACGCAGTCGGACGGACAACAAAGCGATCTAATATATATCGAGGTACGGAACCATAAAAATTCTTAAAAGCCACTGCTTTTAATAAACACTTTTAAAGTAGAGAACATAAGGGGTATACATGTAAGTAAATAGGAGGAAACAAAGGGCGTGAAGACTGGCAAGATAGCTATAAGATTAGCTACATGTATTCCATGATGCTTGGTTAGTGGATTTATGTAATACCCAGGTAAAAGACTCGAATATACATTTGACACATAACAATATACTTTTGACACATAACAATCTATGCTGTTGCAGGTATATCCTGCTCCATTGCACCGTCTTTATTCTTACCATTCACTTACTAATTCTTACTTCTTTACCAACATACAAATGCGAAAGTAACTCTGTCGATCTATTTTTCTCATTTCTTTAAATGGTTCCGACGTTGTTTCCTTTAAGGCAAATTTTAAAATATACTCAACTGCAAGGCATTTAATATCTAAGTTAAATAAAACTTAAGTGGTGCTTCAAAAATTATTTGCGCATTCATTTTATGTTCATAGAAATTGTTACTGTAGCAGGTATAAGCGTACAGTAATCCCAAGTACCTGTTTCCTGAAAGAATGCAAATTGTATATGCAGTTGTATCTTGGGGAAGCGGAAATAACTTTTTATGCATGGAGAGTACAACATGGTAGGGTAAGCGGCCGCGCGGCGTCCTGTAATCAATACACTGTTCTACTTTCAGTGACCTTCTGAGCGTTAACAGCCTCTCTCCTCATAACTATTAGTCTCTCAGTAGGTACTGTGAAGTGATTTTTTTTCGAAAAACAATTGAATAATGTTTTTATATTTGTCGTTATGAGGCAAATATACTCCTCAACAATCTTCTTAAAAATCTCCTAATTGTTTTTGTGAAATAATAACAAAAATTAGCGATTTCATTTAAATTAATTTTATTTTCAGTAACAGAACAATGAACGTATGCATAAATGTTCAGGTGCAAAATTTTCTGTATTTAAAACAATTTTCTTATATTCTGAAGAAGATTACAGCTCAGTACACTGAAGAAGATTTAGGACAAATTCTATGATATGTAGGTTCATTGGAGAAAATTTCATAGCGGGGTGAAGTGAGGCGAGGGGAAGAGTGGAGGCGGAGGCTTGATATTGACCTACATGTTCATTCAGAGTTCGGTCGATGCGAAACTTGACATCTGCGCGTTCCTGCGTTTTCTATTTTCCGAATTAATGTATATTACAAACGACCGTTTTTTAATTTATTTATTTAAATATTTCTATTCCCAAACCTTCTGTTCAAATTGCACGGGAGTGATTCCCATGTAGTACCTAATGTTCGATACTGTTCCTCCGGTCGTGTGATGTCTGTGCGGTTCTCGATGGCTCTTCGGTCATATCGGTTCAATAGTGATTGGAATTAAAATGTTCAAACGGCAGCTGGTGCAAAAGTAATCTCCAATTGAATGACAACATGGAAAAGTCTAATAAAACTCCTGTTTCCTCTGGGACAAAATGTATCTCACCGATGGATATTAAATTCTCTGGCGTGAGTATGTAGCGATCGAATATAACATATTTTATCCTGACAGTAGTGAAAATTAACTTTTATGATAACCGGACGAACATTTAGTTACGAGATTTATAAAAAATCGCCCGCAGTAGCACGATTAAATGTTTATCAGCTGATCGACCGCCATAGAATGATTCAAACCATGTGTTCCATTGAGCTCTCACTTCCATCGATGTCGCTTTAAAATCTGGAACATCACAATCTTACACAATAGATATTTATTATTTAAACATTAAATATATTATCTGGAATTAATTGACACTTTATTTAAATAGTTCAATAGACCTTTTAACGACGAAAACACTAAAAAGCATCTAGTAAAATCGGAAAATCTGGATAAAAAAAGATGTCTATATTTCTGTAATTTTCCAAAAAAAATTAGTACATATGCTACATTTTAGTAATATTTAACCTAAGACGATAAGGTCAATGATAAATAGAGGCCCTATTACTGATGTTTCCGTCAACTTTGACTAAGAAGAGATAGTAAAGTGCGAAATAATCTTCTTTGTGAAATTCTCGACTTTCTTTTTTAAAACTAAGACATGAGTCTCCCACGCCTGGCATAGAAGTCGCAGTCACTAGATCACATTCAAAGTCAAAGTCAAAATAATCTTTCTTCAAATAGACTTCTTAAAAGTACTTTTGAATCGTCCAACATTTGCTGACTATCGATCGATTTTCCATTTAGACTTGATTTAAACGTAACTTATTTAAAAAGTGCCAGCTATACACAGGATTTTTTTAATAGGTAACTAACTACTGACAATTTTCTTAGATATATATTATGAAAGTTTTAATACTGTCAAATGGTTTTCCATTCAGTAAATCATTAAGCTAACAGAAATAAAGTTATAAGTGGGCATATTATATTTTTTGGGTTACTAGTGAGTAAGGAAAACCTTTAAAACAAGTAAAATTAAACTGTTTGAGAATTAGGTCCAGTACTTATCTTGAATTAGGATGTTAAATGTCAAAACGTGCGCTATGCACTATAAAAATACATTTGGCCATTGGATTGGAACTACTTACATGCGGATTTCTTTACGCGGCCATTACATTTTATGGAGGGAAAATTTTGTTTTTGTATATTTCTAAACAGCACTTTTCTACGCGTAACAGTACAGGAACTTTACAACGGGCAGTGTTATTCTCTTATAAAAACAGCCTATCAGCTATGCTATTCTGTTTATAAACAGCTTCAAATTCGACGTCGAGCACAGAGCTTTGACAGCATAAGGTTCCAATAAAATAAAACCATTGAAGTAGATTTTATTCGATTGAACGTCTATTCTATGAGAGCGCTGCGTTGACGTTGGTTTCTAGGCTGTTTTTAAAGCATTGCAGTACAAATAAGAAAACAGGTACCTGCATTTGTACTACTAGTAGTATACTAGCTTTTGCCCGCGAATTCGTTCGCGTGGTATATTTACAAATATTTTTTCATTAAATCGTCATTATACCTGAATATTAAGTTTCATGATTAGATAACGATAAATAAAATCTTAATTTGCATCACAAACACACTCATGTACATATATGAGAAATTACTACAATATTATAAACTGAAAGTAAATTAAACCACAACATTAACATAATTATGACACATGTAAAGTTTATAGTGGGATGACGAACATCCATAGAAACTTTAATTCCCTAAGATTTGATTGTTTGTTTGAATAAGCTCCAAAAATACCAGTGCCCCCAATGGGCCGGTACAACCCCGATTAAGGATATGGGATTATGGCTTAGTTAGTACCTAAATAAACTAACTGTCTAAGTATAAGACATACCATCTCATATCGAACATAGTTTAAACTTAAACAGTGTCGACTCAGGGGCAGAATCCAGACTTTAAAAAGATATATTTTGTGTATAGGAAAAGGAGAATGAGGCCATGGAGCCAACAGTAGAGGACGTGGAACCGGCACGTGGTAATTGGACGGGACGTTTTGACTTCCTTCTGTCACTACTGGGCTACAGTGTGGGACTTGGTAACGTGTGGCGATTCCCTTATTTATGTTACAATAATGGAGGGGGTGAGTGCTGTAACATAATTGTTATTTGAGAGAGTATCATAGAGTCAGTTATGATATGAAAAATCTATTTTATTCTATTAGCATGCCGGTATTTAAAGCCAATTCAAATCTAGAACTGAAATAAACTAAAAACTAAAGCGTTTAGAAATTGAAGCATAATTTTTGCGCGTAGTAGGTTTGAATTTACATACGGTTACAAGGAAATATGTTAACACTGGAAACCGTTCAATATAAAACCCTAGAAAAATTAAAAGTAAGTGTCTTTCATATTTTAATAAATAATGTGAACTTATGGACCGATTACCGCAAAACCGCCCTAAGTTAAAGTTATTTTTTCTATAAAAATATGGCTAAATTTGATTAGCACGTGTTGGATTATAAATAAAGTAAAGATATATTTATTACCTTACTGCAGAGCGGTTCCGTAAAAATCCTAACCCAAATTCGAATTCACTCATGTGTCCGAATTTATGTCATTAAGTGTAGAAATTCTATTAATTCCATTTTTTTTTGTATAAAAGTACAAAACAAGATTGATTAATTATACGTGTCTCATATATTATATCAATATGTAATTTCGAAATTCAGTTTACTTATAGCATGAAACGTTAATACCAATTCAAGGTTTAGCGGATGTCGCTTCGTACACCTAGGTGAATTCAAATTCGAATATTATACAGAATCGAAGGGCTGATTTCTTATATTTTCACGCACTACTCATTAAATAATACCTGTAAAGAATTCGATATCAAGGGTCATGAAATCAAATATAAACGCGGTGAAATCTTTAAAATTTTTTTTATTTGATATATTACCTTGTCAACAGCAATATTATAATACTCAATTTGTGTAATCTGCATGTTTTGTATAATTCCTAAGACAATAAAAAAGGATATTTTTTTAATTTTTTTATATTCTTTTCTCTTCTAGGTGCGTTTTTGATTCCGTTTACCGTAATGCTTATAATAGCGGGTTTACCCCTAATGTTCATGGAACTATCTTTTGGACAATATGCCGCACTTGGTCCCGTTGCTGTATATAACAAATTTTGTCCTCTATTCCGCGGGCTGGGTTACGGAATGGTCATCGTATCCAGTATCGTCATGTTATATTACAACCTAATCATAGCATGGACTATATATTACATGGCAGTATCATTTGCGAGCATTTTTTATCAGTTACCTTGGCAAAACTGTGATGCTGATTGGAGTACACAGCGTAAGTAGCAATGTTAATGTAATTAAAGCTTTTATTAGCGTATTCAATTAGCGCGCTCGCTGTGCTACGTTGTAGCATTATTGTAATCGTATTAAACTTAGCAAATTATAAGTTATTAATTGTTATAATGCATATTTTAGATTGTTACTCTTACGAAGAAGCAGATGAATGTGAAGCAAGAAACGGGACATATTATTTGAGAGAGTGTCTGAATCAAACTTACGTCACACTTCACAACATCTCTGCATTGGCTAACGTAGCTTTGAGGCGACCACCTGCGGAAGAATATTTTACGTAAGGTTTTTCAATTTCATTAAACTAATACGTGTTAATGAAATAATTTTATTGTCTAAATAATGGGCTTTTCTGCAGAAATCAAGTGCTTGGATTATCTTCCGGTATTGAAGAAACAGGTCACATTAGATGGGGCATGGCAGTGTGCTTGTTGGCTGCTTGGTTAATTGTCTTCTTATGTTTATGCAAAGGAGTTCAATCCTCTGGAAAGGTTATTATTTATGTGACTTTAACATCATAATTTTTTGAAAAGTTTAACGTACTTATACTTTAGTGAAATTTGTATTTGTTTTTACAGGTCGTGTATTTTACTGCTCTGTTTCCGTATGTTGTACTTGTCATATTATTTTTTCGCGGTGTGACTCTACCTGGTGCATCAACTGGAATTATATTTTATCTCACACCAGATTTCAGCCAGTTAGCTAATGCTCAGGTGAGTAAATTAAATTTACAATATATAGTAGTTTATATAAGCATAACATTTGTGATCAATAACATACCCAATGTTATTAATTTAAATATATAATTAAAATATCTTTTTAGGTCTGGGGCGATGCAGCTGTCCAAATTTTCTTCGCATTGAGTCCAGCTTGGGGTGGCTTGATCACTCTGTCTTCATATAACAAATTTTCTAATAATTGTTATATGTAGGTTATAAACAATATTTTTATAAACTAACCACTTGTATCTATTTACAAAGTCATAGATAATACCTGTGTTTTTTGCAGTGATTCTTTAATTGTGGCCGTATCTAACATAGCAACGTCGTTCTTCGCTGGCTTAGTAATATTCTCTGTGATTGGATTTTTGGCGCACGAGCTGAATGTTGGCGTAGAAAGAGTGGTGGACCAGGGTGCAGGACTCGCTTTCATCGTTTATCCCGAAGTTGTTACCAGACTGCCAGTATCACCACTTTGGTCTATACTTTTCTTTGTAATGCTGCTTACACTCGGACTTGACTCTCAGGTAATAAACTTTTAATTATGTATTTAATTTAATTCGTACTTAACATTTTGTTTATATGAGATTTATTTACAGTTTGCGCTCATGGAGACTGTCACAACGGCAATTCTTGATAGATTTCCGAACTTCCGGCAAAATAAAGTTTGGGTGGTACTAACGGTGGCAGTGTTTGGTTATTTGGGTGGTCTTATATTCACGACTAATGTAAGTCACATTTTTATTATACTAACAGTTATTTGTAGTAGTTGGTTGTACCTACCTTCAAACCATATTAAAAATTATCTTGATTTGACCAGAAGGTACTAAAATATTAGACAGATAAAGATGTTCAGCATTGCTGTATTGCAATTCCATTCCGTTAAAATTCATTCCATATTCTACGTCGAGCACATCGCTGTGACAGCAAAGAGATTTAATGAAATAAATTCTTTATTATCTTTTAATGTAAGTAGCGTTGTCACATTATAGAGGTTCAATTAGACAAAACCTACTATGACAATGCTGAGCGCGACATTAAGTTTGAATTTGTATATAACTATATAACTATATATAACTATATACTACAGAATAGCTCTGTAGTACGTATATTTACAATAAGTAATGTTCTTTTAACAAAGGTTTTCTGAAATAAATAGACTAAACCTTATTTATTAGTTATTAAATGAGTAAGTTTATTAACCAAATGTTGATGTGCTAAAATATACCTATTGTTTTCTTTATTCTGACATTATGATTATTTATATAAAAATTATACCGATTAATATATTTTCAGAGCGGTATGTATTGGTTACAACTGATGGACAAGTACGCTGCGAATTGGTCAGTGTTAATTATTGCTATCGGCGAGTGTATACTTATTGCATGGATCTATGGAGCTGAAAAGTTTTGTCGAGATATACAATGCATGATTGGTCGGCAGACGAAGCTCTGGGTGATATTTTGGAGTGCCATGTGGAGAGTAATCACACCCGCAGCTCTTGTGGTACGTTGTAAATTTAATTAAAAAGCCTACTTGTTTAATTGTAGTCCTTAGCTACATGAAATATAATAACGTAAATAGAATTATAAGAGGATAGGAGTAATTTTATTTATTAAGTGTGAAATTAGTTTATTAGTCTTCGGTCAGCTGCACAAACGGTTTAATGTTTAATGAAATTGTGGGAGCTTAATTTTTTTTATGTAGTTCTACGTAACAATTCTTGTCACTAAAATCTATACCATGATTCTTAAGAGCAGAGTGCTTAGTGTAAGTTTTTTGACGTTTACGTTCATCGTCGTTCATACTCAAATATTATCGCGAACGCGTTAAGATTTTAGTATGGAATCTAGTACAGCGCCCCTAGCGGTAATTATCAAGAACTACAAGTCTTAATACAAAAACTTACACTTACCACTCAGACATGCGATTCTGTAAAAATCCAACCCCGAATACGAATTCACTTGGGTGTCTGAATCCACTTCAAAAAGTGACATCCGCTCAACCTTGAATTAGTAATAACTAATATAATAACGCTTCGAGCTGAAGTTCGAGCGAAGTGAGTTTCGAATTGATATAGAAATAGAATATCTGAGACACTTATATTCAATTAATTTTGTTTTGTATTTTCATACAAAAAATAGAATCAAACTGAATTCGAGCACATGATTCAATTCGAATTCGGGTCTGGATTTTTACTGAATCGCAGGGCTGATCTTCGTACGTTTGAAAAGCCTGTGACGGTTTCGATTCTTGGGCGAATTAATGAAAGGCTGACTGAGCTTGGAATTGATTTATTTTATGGTAAATAAGTCAAGGGTAAAGAAAAAACTGTAACAAACAAAAAATGAATATAAAAACAGTTCGTATGTTTTACTAAATATAAAATTACAATTACCAAATAGAACAAATACATACCCCTTTTGGGTTTTCCGTGATACGTAAACTTGGACGATATTTCAAGATATAATTTTATAAATGTATATAATTTCTATTGTAATCATAATTACTTCATTATTATTATATTTTGTATTTAAATTTATACGCTTTACAATAACGTGTTAACAACAGATAAATTTTTACGAACTGACATTCATAAAGAGCATATTGGATTAGTCAAAATTTCAAATTATGAAAGATGAATAATTAAAGAAATTATATTGAATATCATAGACTAAAAGTTTGTATGCGAGACAATGTAAGCTAGACAAAATGAACGGTGGTACGGCACACCGTTACAGGCCGAATAGACTCACGCACAGTCTATTTAGTCGAGACTGTACTGTATAGGTAATAATTAAATAATTTGTTTTTCAGTTTATTTTGGTGTTCAATTGGATCGAGTACAAACCAGCGTCGTACGGTCACTACGTGTATCCGATGTGGGCTGACGCGGTTGGTTGGACTTTAGGAGTGTTGCCTGTTGTGGTAGTAGTACTGATGGCCGTCGATAAGATCTGTAGCGGACCTGACGATCTTACAATAATGGAGGTACATGACAAGTTCTAAAAAGACAATTTAAATTATAAAGACGGTAATATAATTCTATGTTATTACGAAGTCTACGTTTTAACTACATGTTCTTGCCTTTGATTATATACTCGTATTCTTGCATCGGATATTTGCGAAGTGGATATTGTATTTCTGACAACGGCCCTTCATGAAGGTTGCTTAACCTCAGCAATCGCACTAACCATATATAAGCTTCATTCACACATATTTGTTTATTGTAGAAAGCTCGTGTACTAGCCCGCCCTACTGAAGAGTGGGGTCCTTCGGCATCTGCGGGTGTTTCGAGTGTGCTGTGTGCTGAGACAGAGCTGTCGCCACCTGTGCTGCTGCTGCATGGCCGGCCGGTGTTGAGGGAGCGAGGCGCATGACCCCCGCACACTCATCCGCTGATAGCGATGCGGAAGGTCAGTCGAAATTTGACCACTTGGTGGATTACAATGTGTTTCTTGGTCTCGGACATGTGATAGCCCGTATCAAATTCCCCCATTTTCCAACTGAAAAAATAGAGGTAAAGGACGGTACAGAAGACAGAACACACGAAATTGTTTCAATGAAATTAAGGTTTTTCTTTCTTTCATCTAGGTAATAAGTGAATTTCTTTAATTTACTTATAACAATGCGTTTACCTAAATGTTCACGTTAATTTTAATAATATTCAACGCCTTTTCTTGCTATCACGTTTCATTTAAATCTCCTGTTGTAGGTGCCATCTTCCCGTTCATTCCAAGTAACAAGTAATAAACTGAAGTAAATAAAAACTGTTGTAATATTCATAATAGATAGAACCTAGAATTGAAAAAAAATATGTGAGGATTAAGAATGATTTATATTCACAATTTAGACAACTTCTTTAAAGCGACCTAAGAGATAAAATCGAAATGGATGTAGGTTATTGGGAGAGTATATTATATAATTAGTCTAACGCTGTATTAAGAGCTGATAATTGAATTTCCTCAACCAAAACTCTGACTTAGGGTTCTACATCTATAAGTTTTGAAGTTCAGTCTATTATTATGAACTTAAAATTAAAAGGTTAACTGTTTAATTGAATTTTTACAGACTTCTCAAGATGGCGGTGATGCAACGTCCATAACAAGTAGCATAGAAAATGAAATTAAGAAATCAGCCGCTGGAATTGTTAAAATGAAACGAAATTCCATCAAAAGAAAAGTACAGAATTTTAGTAACGAATCCGATGATGGTGTAGGTGAACCTCTTTTACAAAAAGAGAAAGTTGAGACTTTAAGTCAAAGTGCCAAGTTTTTATTATCAAAAACAAAGACTGATATAAAAAATGAAAAATTGAATGATAAACAAAAGTCTGGTGATAATATGATAGCGTCAACAAAAGCTATGTTTTATAGTGTGACAGAAAGTTCTACAAGTGGCGCGAAAGATAATTCCACTTGTTTTAATTCTAGAAACGTTGTTGAAACTAGTACTGTTCACAACCATATGAATACCAACGTATTCAATAATTCAGATGGAGCAAAAAATGATAGTATTCCAAAATCGCATATTTTAGTAGAAATTGATAGCAATAAATCAAGCGCCTATAATCCAGGACCTTTGATTTTTACAACAGCAAAAATTCATACAGATGGCACAAATAAGCACATGGAACCTTTGCAGGTGACACCGGTACCTATATTGTCTACTGTAGAAGGAAGCATTATTAAAACAAGTCCTGTAAGAGATGTTGAAGACAAACTGGTAAAAAATTATAACATATTAAGTAGTGATATTCAAAAGTCAGACACAGCGCTCACTACAATTTTGGGAAATAATTTTAAAGGAGTACAAATTCCTGTTGATAATAATACTATTGCACCCATCTTACATGAAGTGTCAACTAACAGAATACAGGAAAACGATGTTATGAATCCACCAGTGTTGAATAAAACCAGTGCAATTGATAAATCAAAACTACCAATTAAAAAGTCAGAAAATAAATTAGACGACGCTAAATCTTCTATCTTAACTGGTGCAACAGTAAGCAAGGAGATAAAAGCTGCACCTGCTGAGAAACAAATATCAACATCAGATGGAACTAGTTCTTCCACTTCATTAAAAATGGATATGAATAAAAATTTTGAAACTAGCTCTAAATGTTCAGATATTAAAAAAGTACCTGAAACTGATTGTTATACTTCAGTTTCAAAAGATAAAAGTGCTAAAGTTAGTAGTTCTTTTGGTAATAAGCAATTACAACGACAAACAACTTTGCGAGATACAGAAGAATTGGTAAAGACAACAAGTTCTATGAATTCACAATCCACAAAAATGCCAAATGTAATAGTCAAAACAAATGTCAACACAGCTAAAGAAAAATCTACTTTAAATCTTACTTCACAACCTATTTTTACTGTTACTACTACATCCATATCTACGCCAATAACATCGGTGACAAAGTTAACTTCAGCTTCTAGTTCACCTAGTACTAATAAAACGGAATACGTCTTGCCATGTGTTCCAAAACATATCCCAATAACTACAGTAACAACTTTAAATACAACACCTGCAAGCAATACAAAATTGAAAAATTCAATTGCTGCTCCATCAAATACTGTAAGTATAATGTCAACTGAAGTAAAACTTGCAAATAAATTGGAACACAAAAAATCTACGGCTAGTAATGGGAAGTTAAATAATACTTCTTCGATAAAATCGGGTGTCGCAAAAATATCCAATGCACAAGGTGGAAGGAACTCTACAATACCTATAACGTCTTCGAAGCCTTTTGATGTGTCCATAGGAACAACGAAAAAAATTTTAGAATCACACCCAAAAGATGTAGCAAAAGCTAGAGTAAGTACAAATTCCACATTATCCGACAAATCGGCAGCAAAAGTAAAGCGTACAGAAGCAGTAACTGCTGATATTGAATCGAGTATGTTAACAAAAAAATCAAAAGAAATACCATCTGTAACATCATCTAATAAATCATATAGTACCGATTCAAAACCTATTGCTACCGAAACGTGTCCAAGTACAGTTACTAAAGAGTATTCAGCCATAACAATAGTCCCATCTACTGGAAGTACAAGTAAAGTTCATAAAGTATTAACTCCATGTAATATAAGCGGCGTTGATACAACAAAACCAACAACATCATGTTCTACTAAATCGTCGATTAAAATACCCGAATCGACTAAAGGAACCGTAGCTGCTAGTGTTTCAACACAGGCAAAAAGCAATAATTTAAAATCTGATTCTACAAATATAACGCCAAAAACAACGGAGTTGTCATCATCCACGAAAACAAGTAATACTTCTGTATGTTCAATTACGAGTGTAACAGGTGCCAAATCTCCAACAACAACACCTTTACCAGCTCCTCCGAAACCATCCGTAACACATAATCAAAATCAGTTAGAGCGTAGTGAATCTAAAAAGGAAAAATTAAAATAGTATGATAATTTTAAGTGTACATACACGACGAACTATAATTAAATAATTTTTAGGTTAAAATTAACCCTTGGCTCAATCCAAAGTGATAAATTAATTATTATTTTAAGTTCCATGACAATCATTTTTCGACAAAATATGATTGATCCAGTTAGTCTAAGAATAACCAATATGTCTTGTCAACATGCAAAGAAAATTTTGTTTTATTTAATCTAAAACTTACTTAAAAACAAACATATTTTTTATGTAAATACGAAAACAAAATGTAAAAAGCGAAAAAACTAATGTCATGCATGTCTAGTTTCTTAAAACCGAATCTATGAGATGGTAGATTTATAATAATACTGTCAATAAAATTGTTTCATTAGATTTACCCATCTTAAAACAAATGATGATTGCTCATACAATGGTCACATGGAATTGAATTTATGAAGTTATTTTTAATCTATCTAGTTAAATGTTTATCTTGTTTTTTATATTTATGTGCCTATACCTGAAATGGACTTGATTATTGTGTGATTCACACATAATGTATGTTAATGAACTTAATAATATCAAATATATCAAAATATAAAAATAAATGAAAGACATCTTTGTACGTAGTAGGTATGAGAATGAAATTCTTTGATACCATGCAGCGTTGCGACAAGATAGAGTGGTGCTAAGAAAGACATAATATTTTTCATAGACAATATTTAAATATTTTCGAGACCATTTAGAGATGATTTCCTTCGTCTCACCCATTGTCAATTTTTAATAATTTAAATCGATATTATCAATCTCGAATTAAAAGGTTTATCTATTCTTGATTATCTTCAATATTAAAATATGACAATGAGAGAATAAAAACACGCAGGGTAGCGACAGATAATACGACTAATAATATTGATTTTGATTTATAAAAATTTACTGATTAATTGTTAACCCTTATTTGGTCGTAATATTAGAAAATTTGCCAATATTATTATTAAGTCAACATGTCTTTGTAATAGATAAAAGTATTATATGATGATCAATACTTTAATTAAAATGTGATCGAAAGAACAATACTATATTGAAGTAAATTTTCTGTAATACTTCATGTAATTATCATCCCATTATTTTACAGATTCATGGATTTTTTGTCTAAATGATTTGATGTCTAAAATGATTTTCCATTTACTTATATTTAATATTATAAATAAGTAGAAAAAAAATTGTAAACATAATATTTACTGTTGAACCTATACTTACTTCTCTTTCCTTTATTCCGGCATTGATATTAAATTTGGTTTATAGGTAATAGGCACTCTTAAATTCGATATTCGATATGTATCAACAGACTTATGTCGTCATATATCCTGCTCTAATTTGCATCTATTTTGTTAAAATAAATAAGTAAAGTAAAATAGATAACTCGAAGTGCGCGATTTATCGAAAATTGGTTTTAAGTGTACATTGACTGGGTTTCTTATATAATTGTATAACGGTCTATGTTTATAACTTATTCCTGGTAAAATCCTGGATACAAAAGTGAGTTACAAAATGAGAATTATTTCTGAGTTCAGAGACTTTATGTATTGCGAGTTATTGGTATTGTTGTTATATTATATGGTCCCAGTAATATTTTTTAATTTTTGGTTAATTTTAATCAAATAAGATACAAAAAGACAATAGTTGAACATATGTTTTCAGTTTATTTTACTGCAGTTCAGTCCAGTTGCATATTAATTTCTGAATTAGGAAACTGGAGGACCTCGGTAGTTCTCTAGTAATTTTCCACTTTACCTAAGTAGATACGTCCACATAAAATAAATCCGTCTGTTTTTGCACAAAAGTTGAATCTTATTCTTACTTTATTTAAGCAGCCAAAAAGAATACGTTCGAAGTTGCGTCAAGAGCCATTTTTAATAACGCTAGCGCGTACATGCCGAAAATTATACCTAGTTTTCTTTTCAATTGTGATTTAAAGTAATATCATCTTGTCTTAAATGTTATTGAAGTCTTTTGGAATCTTTTTTATTTTGTATATAAATCGGAAACCATATATTAATCTTGAAAAACTTAAAAACTTTAAAATTTTTGCAGATGTGGAATTACCTAAATTCTGGTGGGCAGTAAAATGAATGATTTAATTTCTGATATTTTCGAACCTTTATTACCCTAATACTAGGTACTAATTTTTTGGTCTTATAATAAAATTTAAAAGAAAACTATGCTTTAAGTTAATTTCATTTTTTTTGTAATTATTCATTATAAGCGGCACTACTTAGGTGATTATAAAACCATCTTCCAAGAGCGTGTGATAAAAATATAATGAAGAGAGTGTGAAAGTAATATGTCAATGAAAGATGGCTGTATCATTTCTGTAATGCCAATTTTGTAACTGATATTATTTTATAAATATCAAATAGAATAAACAAGCCATAAAAGAATATAATTGAAAGTACTGTCCGTAGTCCGTTTTGCGTAATTTAGGAATACGATCAATTGCACTTAAAGTATTTAACTACTATAATAAAAGTTGTAGGTTCTTGTTCTTATCTATACGTAGTATGTTTTGTTGATTTAGATACTTAGAAACCGTAGACTTTGTGTACCTAACTAAACTGAATTCGTATAAAAAAATTTAAAGGTGCATTTATTGTTTAGTACGCAAGAGGTAATTGTTTAAATTTACTAATAACCGCCAGTTGGACAGCTATAGAGGTTTTTAACCTCTAAACCAAGTTTGTCATATATAAATTCAAATAGTAATTACCATTGAAATTAATTATTTATTTGACTAGGAAAATGTTAGTTCTCTGCATTGTGCATTTATTAAATATCATAACAAAAAAATGTACTTTAATGCTTGTTATATTGGCATAGCACCTGCAGAATAAAATGTTATCAGTATCAAGTCGCGTTAGTAAATTAGACTTGTGTCATTTAGATACTTTATTCGAAACTTAGACATCTAGCGATTAAGATAATCCTAGTAACGACCCAAGTGTTTCTTTTGTTACGTTGTTTTAGATGAATTTATTTTGATATAACTATCACGTTTTGTCCTGTAGAGAACAATTTTGTAAACCTCTTACAATTTATATGAATATTTAATAAAAAGTAACTGTTTGCTTTTAAATAGGAAACCAATCCGTGATTAGTTTCAGAAATTAATAATAAGACGATGTGTCGAGTAGATATAGTGGTATGAGTCGTAAAGGTACGCAGGAATTCGTGACAAACTTTGGAACGCATAATGTGACGTTTTTGTCACAAGTGCAAGTGTAATGGAAGGTAACAATGACACCGCAACGGTGATCATGATGCCAAATAGAAGCGTGCGCGCCGATACAGGTATATAGAATTGATATATGTCGCGATAGAAACTTCTCACAAATACGTATGTTTCTAAGAGACAATTAAAGCTCGCCTAATTGATTATCGATATTGTTGTTAAACTTGATGTATTTAGAAAATTATTGATTAAAAATCGATGTTACATAGATGTTTATTGTAAATATTAGAATAAACGATGCCAAAAGTATGAAATGTTCTAGAGTGTTATAGAAGGCTGTATTTTTGGGTGATATTTTAGAGACGGAAGACAGCATATCTTTGATAAATTATTTAAAATACAACACAGGAAATGGCAAGGTACGATCGGCATAGAAAAGGTTACGATGTGATAAATGCTGAGGGGTTTAGTTTTAGTGTTGTTGTGCTATTAATAAAATATGTTCAAATGTGGTTATATGTTATTTCATTTCACCTCTCTCCGACTTTTCACAGAAACACTTTTTTCTTTTTAAGTTTGAAAAATATTTTAATAGATCCTTATGTAGATAAATATCTACAGATAAATACCTACCTGGTATTAATCTTTTGTAAAAAATACGTTTAACCGATTCTTATTATAGATAGTTTGACGGACTAGTGTCTTTAACAACAATTAGATTGCTTTAGCAATAACCAGTTAATTAAATTATTGATGTATAATCAATCATTCACGTTGCTTTGTCTTTCATATGAGGAATGAGTCTTTTGTTAGCCTTACCAATCTGTGGACCAAAGTCACTATCTGAACAGTAGCAGCGTCAGAGAATAATCTTCTCATAGAATTGAAACGGCTGCAGGTATTTTGTGTAGTGCCACTGACGTCGAACTTTCTTTGGTTGCTTTTATTTTACCATTCGCGTCGGTGCTCCGCTGTGAGTGCACGTGTGCCCGCGATCCGTGTGCGTTTACAACATTATAAGTATATTCAAAACCGGTAACAGTGAGACGGTACGCTGACTTTGCTATAATAAACTGACCGTGAATCAGTTATCAAAACTATCATAATAAATATTTGTAAAAGGTTTAATAATACATAAGGTTTTCGTTTTTGTGAACTAGTGCAATGAAAAATTATTCAGTAAACCTAGTGAAATGGGACGTCCAGCGGAAACGAAAACGTTAAATGTTCGTTATCTCAATTTGATCAACAATTAATATCTTGGACTTAAATCAGCAAAAAAGTAACGGTGCGTCTAAAACACTGGTGAGTTTATTTGGTATTTGTTTGTTTTAACAGTATTAAAGTTTTAGCTGCTTGTATACAGGTTCAATATCAACTGGACATTGTATTGTTTTGGATTCTTTTCTTAATATTAGAAATAGTAACTATAAAAAAATTCTGTGGACAGTATTTTTTTTATTAGTTATTACGGAAACATTTTATATTCAGTAATTTACTAAACAATTAGTTAGTTAATAGAATATCAGACTTTATTATGACGCAAACTTAGATCATTTTAATATACGCTAAATGTCATAGGTATTTTAGATACATACATACTACATATTTTTGCAAATAAACAAATATCACTCATTTATGTAATATTGCATAAACTGTGAAAGATACCGTGTCCTTTAATGATACTGTCTGATATTGTCTAAACCACTTGATCAAAGTAAAAATATTATCTTTACCAGCACTTCAGTTACATACTTATTTATCTACCCATTTATCTTAGGACAAGAGAACTATTTTATAATTCTGTCTAATATTTTCCTATATTTGTTGCCTATTGTATTCAATTTATTTTTCTGCCAGCGACTTCAACCGCATGGCTTGCTCGTTTTTGCGACATTTTTCAAGCCTGCTCCTATTAGTCATAGCGTTCCTCAATAAATCGACTATTCAACACAAAAATATTTTTTCAATTCGAACCATTAGTTCCTGAGTTTAGCACTTTTAACTAAGCTAACTTAAGCTTTTTGATATTAGTATAGTTTAGTATAGATATAGACTACATTGTACATTCTATAGCATGAGTAGTTTTCACAGTACCTACATTATAAAGTTTGCTGCTTATATCTAGACAATTTGCCAGTCATATTAAGCAGTGTCAGTCTTAGTAGTTCCGAGATAGGTTAGACTGGGAAAGTCCTAAACCTATTCTCGAACGACTCGAACTGGACTTGAACATATTTCAAAATACGGAGAATTAAGTCAAATTTCCACAATTAAAAGATACGGTGGTTTAATCTGCCTATTATTTGATCTCAATGTATCTGAATTTGAATCTTGGCTGCAACGATTTTCATGGTTACTATATACAGAGGGTTTCGGGAGTGATAAATCGATCTAGCTAGGTTTCATTTACAAAAAAAAAAAATGCCGAGCTCGGTCATCAGTACAGTAAATTTTTTTTCCGTGCGAATTTTCGTGAACCAAGAAATATTTGTAAGTAAATGAATGATTTTCTATACAAACTCCTACCTCTTTGTTCATTCTTTGAGGATAGTTACTGACATAAAATTTAACTATGTCCTCCCCAAGATCTCTAATATCTCCTCACTAAGCATCTAAATCGGTTCAGATTTTCGCATTTATAAAGAAAAGGTGCCACTTCTCTTGTAAAACAAGTTTACCTAGTTAAAGAAATACTGCAATTGATGGAAAAAAAGTCATAACTTTGATTCCAAAACGGAGATTTATATATGGAATTTATTATTATATAATTAATTTATTACTTTTTCAAATAGTATTTCCAGATGGTGGTATTTTTTAAAATTATGGTACTACTTTTTCTTTTGCTTGTTTTTATTTGCAGGCTGTTTTTAAAGAAGTGGTCATATCGTATAAAGTATCTTAATACCCCTCGTCTGTTTTCTATGGTATCCAGTGGGCCTACCGTCTAATTAAAACGGCTACGCGCTATTTGGACTTTTTGTATTAGATGGGATATTGTTAATATTGGCTATAATCAAAATGCGCTCAACGTTACAAAAAATTACTACTTTGTCGATGAGATTAACGCTTTTATACTCATGCCAAATGACATTTTTTTTATAAAAACAATTTTTGAGCTAAATTTAAGCCATGAGATTCTTAGAGAGCTGAGTAGTGATATACTTAGGTATGTATAAAAATCGACTGTCGGGTCAAGCTAACATATAGGCATACGATCTAAGTCAATATTGACATTAGCCTAGCCAACAAATCGTAACACCAAAAAAAAAATAATGACTGGTGCTCTGCGATCTACCCAATAATTAAAATATTAATGAAAAATTATTTTGTTAACTGTCAACATCTTTATGCAATCGAAAGAAACAATATGTTTAAAAAATCAAGAGGCAAGAGGGGCACGTGTACCTGTACTTTGAGAGGGTACTTTTAAGCATTTTTCATTAAGAATATTTTTCAGTATAGGATAGTAAATGCAAAAATTGATCAAATATATTAATTAGTACAAATTTTCATCTTAATCGAAAGTTTAAAATGTTAGTAAAAATATTTGTTTCTGCTGTTTGGGTGGATTGCTTAAACATGATGAAAAGACGCTCATTAGTAGCGACAAAGGTGGTTAGAGCAGTCGCCCCAATTTCGAAAGGTCGTGAATTCGAGTCCCATTTCAGAGTACCTGGGGCAAGTAGATTTTTTAATAATTTTCCATTAAGAATAATAAAAAAATATCAGACAGGCGTTGAGAAAAAAATTTCAAACAACTGACGCCTGTCTGATAATTACTCGATATTGTTTCTTTCAATTACATAAAGATGTCGACAGTTAACATAATCATTTTTCATTAACATTTTTATTGATCAAATATAACGTTGATTATTATTACTGTCCCTCGGAGACATGTCCGCTAACTAAATGGAAAAGTTGCAAATACAGCAATTATTGATAATTTCTGTAGAAACATAAATTTAATTACAAAGAGTGGATACCTCTAGATACCCCAACTAATAATAGCAGGAGTCATCCACTCAAACAGGACACCGACAGTTAGTTACTCGTTTTACAAGCTCAAAACCAGTCTTGCATCCTGCGGAGGATTTCCTTAGATATAAAAGATTTTGATGTTAATATTTGTTTAGGTTAATTTTACATTTATTTTAAAGACGCGTTACGATTCAATATTCTAGTTTTAAGTACACTGGTTCAAAATCTGTTAGATACAATAGACTTCATAAAAGATAAAATTTCATAAATTCTATTCTTAATACAAAATGCTTAAAAAATCCACTTGGTCCCTGGCACCCTGAGATGGGAATCGAACCCACGACCTTTCGCAAACCGGGCGACTGCTCTAACCACTGAGCTACCCAGGACCTAACAGGACTGACGAATATTTCAAACACTTGTTACTTTTCGCTACTACAGAGCGTATTCTCATCAATGTTCAGGCATCCACCCAAACAGCCGAAAGAAATATTGTTACAAATATTGAAACTTTCGATAAAGACGAGAATTTTGTTCTTATTATTATATTTGGTTAATTTCGCATTCACAATGCTATGCAGGTGAAGTCGCGGGGAAACAGCTAGTTTTTAATTGGTTCAGAATTCAAGAAGAAATCAATGAACGTACTTACTCAGATAAAATGTGTATTCTTATATCTATGGCTATCCCTATAATATATATATATCGGGTTGGCACAAAAGTAATGAGACACTTGGTTTAAGTTTTTACTTTTTTATTATTATTACAATAAAAAAAGTTTAGTCAATGATGTAATTACCATTAGTATCTAAGACTTCTTGCCAACGATCCGACAAAGTTTGGATGCCTTTTGCCCAGAACTCTGATGGCTGTGCCTCGAAAAAGTTGTTCAACTCCGCCTCTACGTCAGAGAAATCATTAAATTGTTTACCCCGCAAATGCTGTTTCAGGGCTCTAAACAAATGATAGTCTGATGGGGCGAGGTCTGGGGAATAAGGTGGGTGGGGTATCGTCTCCCAGCCCAAGTTCTCCAACTGCCGGCGAACCACAGATGCGACGTGAGGTCGAGCGTTATCGTGCAGTAAAACTACATTGACTCGTCTTCGTCGTTTTTTCTTGATAGCGGCAGATAATTTGGTAAGCTGGGTTGAATATTTGTCAGCGTTTATAGTTTCATTGTGTAATAGCTCATAAAACAGTATGCATTGCGCATCCCAGAAACAGCAAAGCAGAATTTTGCGGCGGTTCTTTTGACTCGGCTTCGGTTGAGTTGGTGGCGTTTCTTCTCGAGGCAGCCAAAAAGCACGACGTGTGTATCGTTCTCGTAATAAATCCATGATTCATCTCCAGTAACCAGATCTGACAAAAACTCTTTACGTCGGGGTCGCAACAAAAGTAATAGACAGATAGCGACACGGACTGCACGACTGGCGTCTGTAAGGATGTGCGGTACCCACCGAGCCAAAACTTTTCGATAACCAAGCTCATGCAGATGGTGTTCCACGGCGTGGTGACTGCATTTAAGTGCTTCCGCTAATTCACGAGTCAACTGCAGTTCGGAGCATCCGGATTCAACTGCAGTTCGCGGCGCAAATCGTCATCATTCACTGCGGGTGGCCGCCCTGAGCGTGGCTGACTTTCAAGGCTCCTGTCTCCTGATTTAAATGGTCAAACCATCGGGACACCATCGCATGGCTTGTACTTCCAGCGCCTAATGCATTGTTGATATTGTCAGCCGCAGCCCGCGCACTGTGGCCTAACAAGTACTCGTATAAGTATAGTGTTCGAACTTGTCGCTCGTCCATTTTTCTTCAAACTGACTAAACAAATCGCGAGCGCGGCTTTATATACCCTACACCAGAAGTACCTAGAATGTTCTACAACATTCTAGAATATTATCGAAAAAATTGATTTTAAAAAGGAAATGTTATAGATTTTTCTAGTGTGTCTCATTACTTTTGTGCCAACCCAATATATATACTTTACTCTTTGATCCCTACTATCTACTATAAAAAATATTTGAAAAAATTTCCACCAAAGAGTAAAGTATACATACTCGTTGAACATAGAATATCTCATAGATTTATCCTCATTTCGGATTTCAAATGAATGCAAAATACGCAATCTTTTGTTTTTGGCTGAAATAAACATATTACAATTTTATTTTTTTGAAATCGATGTAAAAAGTAACATATTATTAAACAGCGCAAAACCTGCTTATTAACTTACCAATTTAAGTTCCTAAAGGAGAACGTCCTATTTATTATTTATTTTGATAAAATTGCAAATCCGCCTTAAGAAATGGGAATATTGGGTGAAATTTG